ACCCCTACGAACGACAACCCTCAGAAGTCGAAACTTGTGCGAGCTAAGGATTAACGAGGTCTTACCTTTTAACGTGTGCTTCCTAACACGGGTTGAACGATAGCAAGTGAAGATCGATCGTTCAGACTAGGGCTTGAACCACCGACCAACACGGCAGTCAATTCGAGTAAGTGAACAAAGCACCCACGCCGAACCGCTTGGCTACTGACCTGAAGAAAGAGAACTGTAGAGGATATTGAGTTGTTTCAAGTTTTGTCCGTTTTCATGCCTTGAACAGTATAATAAATTCTTATTTAATTGAATCAAAATAGAAGCCATTTGAATCAGTGCAATTTTGCCAACGTAACACAAGTCAATTAATTCCGTTAGCATAAAAATTTCGTCCTCGGGATTCGATGACGTCAACGAAGACCGTTTTTCCCTTGTTCTCTTTGCAGAAGGTTCTACCAGCGAGAAAGTGACCGAAATGCTTGAAAAGATGGTAATCGATTGTCAAGAAGTCTGGGGTGTATGGTGGGTGAGGTAGAACTTCGTTTAATTTCGGACGGTGATATTTGAAACTTGCGGACGGGCGTTGTCTTGGAGTAGGATCCGACCTCTTCTGTTGACCAATACCGGCTATTACTGACACCTCGAAACATGACAATTCTTGTCGTTAGTTCAAATCGTGGTGCACCCAGTTTTCGAGCTTACTGACCTTTCCAATACGTTCCAAACCATCAAAAACCGCACGGGAGCTAACGCCCAGTTCTTCTGAAATCTCACGCACCGTTCGTGATAGGTCATTCTCCACCAGGGTCTGCAAATCCTCGATATGGATTACTGTCAGTCGACCACTTGGGGGCTCATGTTTGAGCCAAAAATCTCTGAAACGAAATTTCTCAAACCAACGTCGAACAATGCGTTCATCACAGTATCATTGCTAAATGCCTGGTTAATTTTTCAGTTGATTCGACAGCGCTGTGGTTAAATTTGAATTAATAGAGAAACCAAGGTAACCATTGCTCAACGGAAAATAGACAGAAATTAAAATTAGTAAAAAAAAATTTACGGCATCAATGTATAGAGTACAAAATTCTCTATCGATCAGTAGATACCACGACACAGTAGAATAAATATTTGTCAAGATATGGAGCTACATAAATTCATGACATTAAAACGGACAAAACAACATAATGAATCTAGTTGATGGCAAATTACTTCATCAGAAAAGTAGTGTGTTTAGGCTAGGCAAGGCATTTGCTAATGAAATGTTTCCAAGATGCTTTCTGTGGAAATTTGAATTTAAAATAAAAAATAATGGTACAACTTGCTTTTTGAATACTCAACATTTTAAAATCTATTTAAAATCTTTTTCTCAAACCAGACGAAAATACTGTCTCTTGACGTGTGTTTCCCTAACATATTTTTTGCTGAGGTACTGATACCTCTAATATCAAGAGGTTGTATGACAAGTGATTTACAAAAAAAATTGGCACAAAATTTGAAAAAATTGCGATTATTTCTAAGACTGTACAATTTTCTCCATTCAACTTTTCCAGCACAAGTGCTTTTTGTTTTCCTACCAGCCTGTAGGTAATCATTTGATCAAATTCAGCAAATACATAATGAATTCACGACTTTCAGCAATAAGACTTGTAAAAGCCAAGCCTGGCAATGCATTGCATGCAAATATTATTCCAAACTTGGATATTAGTAACATTCCATCAATTATTATCACTATTATTAATTATAAAGACGGGACTAATGATAAAAGGGCAATGAAAAAGGTAACACCATTTGAAGCATTTCTTTTAATTCATACTTATTAAACAGTTATATTACACAAAATTAACATACTAATTTTCCTTTAAATATTTACGGGAATGAGGGTCGAGCTTTTTAGGTTCATTCAAAGAAATGATCCGAAAAATGAAAGAAATAAGACACCTAGGAGGGTCTTTTGAGAAAAATAAAGTATGTACTTACCTAACCATAATAATAAATGTGTAACTACAAATCTTTGCAATAAGTAAAGTGTTGGAACAGCTTCGAAAAAATTAATTTCATATCTCTAAATGAAACACTTCACATTAAAATGCATTTTTATATGCAACTTATACACATATCTACTTGTATATGGATTTGACAGATGTAGTTAATAAGCACGTGAAACATTCGAATTTTTTTTNCTCATTGCTGAAACAGATGTTTAACAGAAAATTAGGGATGGTATTGACTCGATGAGACATGATTTCACAAAACTATATTCTTCTATCATAATCATCCTCGTGGAGCTCTTGAAGAATCTGCATTTCATAAGAATGAAATTTATGCATTCTCAATGCTTTCTTTCAGTCTCGAGTGACATTCCCGTCTGTTCTGATACTGATCATAAGGAGCTTGTGGGCTCTGCAGCAAATGTTCCCAAAACTTCAATTTGAGCTGCTTCATTTAATACTCTGGGGTTATTCCTTTTTTAATTTGTCACTGAACCAGTTTCAATAAAACTTATTTCAACAAATCAAGCACATACCGGAGACTTACATTACAATTTGGAAGTCTTTCGTTAAAAAGACATGCCGCCCTTCATGCACACTTTCCAACTTCTCCATAAATTATAATCATTTCAATTCTGTCTTGGAGAATGTAAACCATTTCTACACTTTTATACACTTATTAAAGTAGTCACTAAACAGCCCAACAGGTACAACTGTATGTGCAATACTACCACGTCATTCAAATTTGCGAACCAATTTTTTACCTGAAAGCATAGCAGCAAAAAAGCACGGCTCTCTGTACACTTTCTGTGATGAGAATTAAAAATTAATCATTTACTAAACACTACATAACTACCATCTACGTTTTACTATTAGACTACTTTTTGATGTAAATTAATTGGGGCTAATGGCTAATGTTGGAACGGAAACACCTAATATTCTTACAAGTTCTCTGTCTAGGCGTACTAATAATTACTTCTGTTAGTTTAGAATACTATTTTTTGAAAAATGCTCATCAAGAAATAATAAGTCAGGGTACCATTGGAAGCAGAATTGCATGCCAATCAAAATGATGTGCCACTTGACCCCCCCTTTCCTTTTAAAATTCTAATGGTAACATCTACACCTCCTAGCGGGTTGAACCATGAGGGCTACAAATAGTCCTTGAAAAGTGCTTGAAAGTCCAGTAAAATTGTCTTTTTTTTTAATCATCAAATTGTTTACTGGAAGATATTAAGGGTGGGAAGTTTTCAAATTGACACCCCGTATAATAATAATATTTATGATTGAGACAATTATTTGCTTTAGATAAATCTAAAAAAAAATGCCCAACAGAATTTTCCAATGAATTTCCCATTTTTTAAGTAAACGCATATTAATACTCTTTAATGATTTACCCTTAAAATATACTTATCCATGCTGTAAGTTATTCATCATTTTACAATTATTCACAAAATTCATTAAACGATCACACTTCAAAGAATTTTGAAAAGGCAGGTAAAAAAACACTAATTGGTTTGAAATTTTCATTGGAATTATACAATACCGGTTATGGAGGAGTATTCAAAATAAAGCTTTAAGGCAATATTTGGAAAGGGCAAAACTGTCTTTTCGAATAATTTTTTTAATCTAGAAAATCTGTACGGATGTAAAAAACTGAGTACTAATTCAAGTCATCACTTTCCAGAATAAGGGTTATGTAGTTTTAACAAAAATAAATGAATCTAATGTAAATTTGAACCTGATGAAATCAATTCAAATATATTAATTACTTACCCTGTGGAGACATCAGTAAATTAACAAATTCCAACACATCAAGGAAAAGTTCATTCCTACGATATTTTATACCTTCACGGCGCCATCCTATTTGACCTGTGACTTGGGATGTTATTTGTGCTTGTTCCTCTTTCGGACGAATAAATCGTTGAGCAGGCGCTAAAGTGAATTTCAATCTCATATCAATAGAAATTTATATTCCGACGGTTTCAATAAATGTAAAATTATTGATACATATATCTGAATTATACAGGAGTGCACATTACAAGTCGAGAATCCATCAACCACCATCATCAGACTATCAATATATCTATTGTCGGTAGCCGGGCGGTTCGACGTAGGTGCTTTGTTCACTCAGTCCATCAGTTAATGTGTGAGTCGATGGTTCAAGCCTGGGCTGAAAGCTCAATTTTCACTTGCTATCGTCCAACCCGTGTTAGGAATTACACGTTGAAAGGTAGGACTTCGTTAGTTTTTAGCTCGCACAAGTTTCGACTTCTGAGGGTTATTGTTCATAGGGGTGCGATAGCTGGTTAACAGAAAAAAACATATTTAAAACAAAACATAACATATTTTTAAACATTGTACTTATAATAATGATAGTGATGGGTATAGATGTTCCTGACACAAGGTGCCATCGACATAACGCGGCTCTTTGAGTGCTATATTACCATCTACGGCACTCTTACGGTATTGACGAGACACCGGTGTTGCCCTACGCTCCGGGGTATATTGAATCCGTTGTGGGGAACGAGAAGTGCCGAATTTATTGGAACTATTCTTGAATCCGTTGTGGGGAACGAGAAGTGCCGAATTTATTGGAACTATTCGTTCACCACCCTCAGGTTCATACCAGCTAATATGCCTGATGTAGTCCTTCTCGACCACCAGAGCAAAACGATATTTGTCGTGGAGTTTTCAGCTCCTGGCGAGACGAATATCGTCAGAAAAGAGGAAGAGAAACGGATAAAATATCCAGATTTTCTCTTCGAACTCCGCAGACTCTATCCAGATCACTCTGTCAAGATGGTAGTTCTGATTATTGGAGTCCTTGGTGGAATGATGCTCTCTCTACCCTCGAATCTTAAAATCATACTGGCTTGCCGCACTAAGGCAGAAATCTCAGCCGGACAGATGCAGAAGGCTGTCATTCTTGGCTCATTCCGCTTGCTCAGGGCATATGATTCTCGGACCCAATGATCACTTACACCACGGTGTGGGGAGTGGTCGTTGGTTGATAATGCTGGCGCGCCCTCCCGAATGTATAGGGGCTTCGGAGAAAATGCCTCACCAGCGCATACTTCGATGATAGTAATAACACTCATTTCAAATAACATGTAGATAAAATATAGATACAAGTAAGTGAAATAAGTAAGAAGTAAACGTAATACATCACGAAAGCATCGCTTGTGTGTGACAGACATAGCTAATAATGAATAAATTGCATAAAATATTTTATGTATATTGCACGTAATTTGCTTTCATGGACCTATGCGTGTCAATAGCCCTTGCTATCGCTCAGGCTGTTTCTTACACGCTGCGGCCATAAAAGCATATTTTACGTCCTTGATACATAAATAACTATTGTAGCAATATTTTTTTCTTACCGTCAAGCAATTCGTAAATCAATACAAAATTATTCTTGATGTTTTCTTCTGAAATCTTTCCGAAATAAGACTGCATAACCTCAATAATTTTGAGCAGAAACTCAAATACCATTGCTGCATTGACATTTTGTTTAGTTACCGCCGCTATCCATATGTTAGCCCTCTGCAAAATGTGAAAATTCATGACACCACTTCACTTTTTTTCTTTTCATAAGAAGAACCACCTTTCGAATGTTTCAAAACACTTTTATTTGAATAAATATGACAAAATTTTGAAATATTATTTACCTGACAAATAGATTTCTAGAAGTTTCGAATCCTTTCGAACTTTAATAATAAACTTTCTTGACCTTTTATGATGAGTTATCTCTTTCTTTCAGTTTTTAGATTTGGGAATTAAAAAAAGTCACCTTTATGGTGAAATTTTTGTATTATGATTTATCAATTGAATAGAACTGGCCGATACTTGATGAAAATCCATATTAAAACTAATTAATATAGTTAATTGTATGATTTTCACTTCAAAGGGTTTTACAAAAACTGCGACATGTGTTACTGCGACATGTGTTTCGCTATACAATAGCTTCCTCAAAAGTAAACGCTTGAGGAAGTTATCGTATAGCGAAACAAGTTTCACGGTTTTTGTAATTTATCACATACTGAGAAAACTTATTTCAAATGTATGGCTTGATGCTGAGGTATTAGAGTCTATTAATTACAAGCTTATCTCATTACTCAAAACAATTGAGCATATGATTTGTAAAATATTTTGAAATTAACTGTACCTACCTTAATATGGAAAAATGATGTCCTTGCAATATTTGTAACTGGAGATCTAACTTGTTGGCGGGCATGTATAACATTAACCCGAAATGCGTCGACAGCATTTCTACCAATATCATCGCGATAGACTCTGGAGATCAAAACTTCTCCCTTATGATTGTATACGAATAAGCCTCCAATCATCTTGAAGGCAAACTACTCGTTGATCTGAAAGTAGATCAACACACTTAAAAAGTAATTATCATTCAATGAATATATTTAAAAAATATATTCTCACAAAGAATGTAATGTATTTTATTCGTGGTAAATTCTTTGACAATCTGATTTGGGTATTGTCCTTATTATCAATTTTACCCCTTCAATACAGCATGAGAAACTTGTGAACGTTTTTGATAGAAATGATGTACCAGTATGCTACTTGAAAATTTAACCTTCATAATACGAGGTCTATTCAAAAAATTAAGTGAATGTTCAATTTTTGCAGACTGCCTCTATTCAATTAGTACTGTTTTATTATTTTTATATTGGCACACTCGTCTTGAACAAATGTTCACAGTTAAGGCTGTTTAGCATATTTAGTTTGTTGGTGAGAGGCATAAAAGTTAGTAGTGTTTTGCATATTCGGCGATTTTCTGCTATCGAAAAAATGGATGAACTGACCTCGTATGTAGGTATAAAAAAGTAGTAAAAGGTGAGTCCATTTCGCTGAATTTTTTTCATCAAGTAACAAACACTGAGCATATGGAACAGGATGACTTCAACTGATAGAAAATATAAAACAGTTCTCAAATTAGTCTATAAAATTGCATACCCTCTCTGTTAATCTCAGAAGAAACCACTTTTCAAAATTTCTTTTTGTAGAATCAATTATAGTTGAAATGAGAAAATTTGTAGGATTTCAAAATCATCACTATTCTACACTGAAATTTTTTACTTATCTTTATATTATTTCAAATGATATGTTGAAACTCTATTTTTATAATAATAATTATTAATAATAATAATTCAAATAAAAATAAATATTTGATTTTATAGCATTTCTTAAAATTATAAAGTTCAAAGATTCTAGGGGCATTTGAAAAACTGCATTTAAATGGGAGAAACGTATTTTTTTATGAATTCATGGTCTAGGTTCGAATTTTAATTATCTCGATGACATTCCATTTTCAGTTTTTCAATTTCATGACTTTAATGTGAAATTAGATATGCCGAATTCTATAGAAGAAATGAAATCATATGTTAAATACACTATTTAAACTTGTTTACACATTTTTTTTAAATATATTCAAAAATAATGTGGCATTTGATGATCAATTAAAATAATCCAGGGTGTATTCTGGGAAATATAGGAGTGGATGAAATTGTATCCTATTATGTCCGCCCTTTAAAAAATATTGATTTATGTCACAGGTATACAAATTGAAAATAAACGTTTCTAATTGATTGATAACTTACCTAACACTAGACTTATGCCATAATTTTAGGTCTAAAATCAATTTAGCCCAAATTTTTAGTTTTTTCCGAATGGAGATTCTGACGTTTCACCTTTCAAATCACCTCCTGTCATCCTCCCCTTAAGTGTTTCTTCTACTTCTTTTTCTGAATATTCTACTCATCCTATGGACGAGACTGAAAAGTGGGTGACATCTAGGTTTTATAATTCGAACGTGAAACTCTGGGAAAACATTTATTATTGCCACAATATTCAATATTAATCATTTTAGTTATCTGTTCATAATATTCTTCTGAATAAATGTGAAAGTAAGCTCTTTCAGCTTCTGTCAATTATACCCTAATTACGAGGGCCCATTATAGTGTATATGAATTCTACCATTAAAAGTATACTAGCTGAATGCTATGATAATTTTAACTCAATAAAGTATATGTTGAATTGAATTAAATTGAATATACCAGAAATGAGAAGTTTATACACCTGAAGAGAAGTTACAACTTTACGAAGAAACCCAAAGGAATTATCATTCTTAATGAAATATCAACTATCTTGTAGTTTTCTTAATACAAAATAAAATTTGCTTTGTTACTCGATGTCTTAAAAAGTGAATTATTCGATATCCCCTATTTTCGGTCTTTGAATAGGTTTCGGAACACGGGCAGATATTAAATAATTTAATCTGTGACACGGGATAAAATTCCGAAAAAATTAGGTTAAGTTTTAAGAGTGATGTGTTTTTTTTTTAAATTTGTAAATTGTTAAACGAATGAAATTTCTATTTAAATACTGAAATGACAAAAATTCTTCCCCATTGAATCGAATAAAGCAGGACTTCAAAAGAAATAAAACCCTCACTAATGTTGAAGACATAAACTTTAATTTCGAGGTAAGCTAAATGTAGTATTTTCAGGGGCATCATTATCAAATCAGGTGAGTCTCACATTGGAAGAGTCTTTTTTAAATGCTCTTCACTTCCAAAGAAAGAGTGAGACATCTAATTTTTCTCTCGTTGTGCAATTTCGCCTGAGTGAAAATAGGGTCCCAGAGATCAGTTGTGGGTAGTAATTAATACTGGAATTATTGACATTAAATGAAACTATGAAATTGAGAATATAACTATTTACGATGGGCTACAACGTCTCAGCAATGACTGACTAAGTCGTTGGTGAGTCTTACATAAAATATATATGAAATGAATGTCGACTTTTTATTAAATTCAATTGGGATAGTATATAGTAGTATAATAGCAATCCACTTTGAATAAAGTGAATAATTTGAGTCTTTGAATATCCATTAGATTCAGTAATCTACATTCGAACAATAATAATAATAATAATAATCGTCTTTATTGTTTCCCAGCTGTAGTTACATACAAATATTTAAGTAAATTACAGAGCTAGTTGCTGACATAAAAAAGGCGAAGTTCAACTCAGCACAAGTGCTACTGAGTTGTTATTCTTTAATGTGAATTTTTTTTCAGAAAGGAACAACCCTCCTATCAAAACGTACTGTCCAATAATGTTCATGCACAGCGCTCTTCTTCGAAGGTCAATTTCAGCAAGCCAGTTTTCCAGATTCAAACATTCAGTAGATTATTCAAAGTTTCCTGTATTAAATGAAAATGATTTGGAAGAAATGCATGTCAGAGGGACTGGACCTGGGGGACAAAAGGTTAATAAAACTTCAAATTGTGTTGTTCTGAAACATATTCCTACAGGTAACTACTATTAATAAATAAGAAAGATTTATCTCATGATATAACAAAAGTATAAATTTGTGAAGTATTCGAATAAAAATTTTTTCAGGTATTCTAGTAAAATGCCACGAGTCAAGGTCGTTGCCAAAAAATCAAGAGATAGCACGATCTCACCTTCTAACGAAAATAGATAATTTCTTGAATGGGGAAAACAGTGTTGAGGCCCAATTGAAGGCACTTCAAGATAAAAAGGATTCTGCGAGAAAGGCCAAAAAAGAAAAGCTAAAGTTGCTCAAAGAAAAATGGAAAGAAAGAGAGAAAGAGAGCTAAAGAGAGTAGTTGAGTTTAGGTTTTGTTTTATTTTGTAAATATTTCCTTTTTTTTTCTGTATTGATAGTTATGTTCCATTATTTGCAACAGATTTGTAGAAATTTATCACTATCATTTTTCTCAATAGTAGATTTTCCCCTACTACTGGATAGAAGGAAGAATGTTTGTTTTTAAACAACAAAAAAATCTTGGTGTTTCTAAAAATCATATGCTTTATGATATTCTATAAAACTTTGAAAATTATAGTGTTTTTGACTTAAACCTGTATTTGTTTCACACCCCCCCCTCTTTCTATATCTGTGCTTAAAATAAAAAAATCATACATCATATGGTTATTTGAATAATTGAACCTAAATCTAAATAAAACAGTAAGACAGGTCTTACAAAGAACTGAAAGTGGAAATCCAATAGAAAAACCTTTTCATTTTTCTTTTCTTCATTAGGATTTCCTACCACGTAGTAACGGCTACATCCATCAATTTATTAAAAACCATAGTGTTCTAGCTTGGTATGGAGGATGTCGTGGGAAACACAATCAAATACTTTGCTGAAGTCGCAGTTCTACTCATATAACAGCCGCTATTGTGAAGGCGGTTTTTATCCCTACGATTCGATAGGTGAATTATAAGGCAAGTTCTAAGCTTCATGTGTCAAGTGGATCTCGGAGTGTTCATTGCCATTTGACCTGTGTTTAGAAATGGCAGGTTGAAACGTAAAACCTCGTTAATCTCTTTCCCGCAAAAGTTTCTAGAAAAGTTCAGAGGGTTTCAATCGTAGCTGATTAAAGGAAAAACCCATTTTCGTCCCCTAAACAAAAAATCCTGAATTTGAAGAATGTCTGGATCAATTTCGAAATACTCGTTAAAGTATAGGAAATGCAAAGGAAATATTGCCCCACATCTTCAACAATCGTCGACCCCACCCGAACTCTCTCGAGCCGCACAGGTGGTTCGGTCGGAGAGCTTTCCATCGAGTGGAAGTTTGGTGGAAATTTTAGTCGCGAGTTTACGTTTATTTAGGTCGAGTGGCGATCGATTTTCGTCGGCGAGCTTTTAACCACTCAAATAGTTAATGAGATCTGTTTACACTTGAAAGCGGAATTGGCGAGAAAGCTGAAAACGAATATGGGCCGATATTTAACGTGGCGTGAAATTATGAACGAAGTCCTCGGGAAAAACGGCGGATTTTCTTTTTTTTCGGTTCGTTGAGTGCACGGGTAACGAATCCTGTGGGAAATAGAGGAAGAAGTGAGATTGGAAGTAAAGTATACTAATAAAAACACGCTGTAAAATCCGTTCTCGGATCGGGTAGTTAATATTGTAAGATGAGTGGTAAAATTGCTCAATTTTCATTTTAAATTCAATATTTATTGGTAGCCTTAGAATAAAAACATAACCTAGGTTTATTTTTCAAAGTATTTTCCCCAACCAATAAGAAAATAATTGGTTTGGATTCGATTTCATTAACCTAATCTTCTATTTCATACATAGGAACGCTACATAACGTGATATATGAAAAAATATTGATATAAAATTTAACTCATAGAAAAGCTTTCAATGCATATGTGGACTTCCAGAAGTTTCCGGTGGAAACACTAGTCCTTAACTTCTTACCAGCTCCTTCTGGAAACTTTGAAAAAAGATTAATTCAATCCTTGCAAAAACTTGTCACAATGACCGTATGTTAAATACATTTAGACAACTAGTTAATTCAATTTCATTCACATAAGTAGTTTTGGCGAGCATTGGGCGAATCAGTCTTTGAAGTTATTCAAAAACTGCTGATGAAGTATTGAAGACTATTACGTTGTATAGTGTTCCTTGTATATGTGTGATATCTGTTTCAATTCCTTGGTAAATGTACAAACTGAATGATAAAATTTGATTTCTGTGTAATTCAATGTTCATATTTTATGAAAAATGAGAAATAAAACTCTATATTTTTTTTACCACTTTTAATTGTAACTAATGTTGTTACTGCACTTTCGTCCTATAATGACATTTTACATATTACAAGGTAGCCACAACTGTGAATAAAATCTATTAGGCTGGTAACAAAATTTGTCCATATGTCTTTGTTGATTTCAGATATCTATTACATTTCAGTAAGTATGTTGTTTTTTCTTAATCGCTCTCTTGAGTAGCAAAAGAAAGAGATTGGACATTCTGCATTTTCTGCAAAGTGATTTGATGATAATAGGTATGTTTTTTTTCATTCATTTTGAATCTCCATATTCAGAACTCAGCAATATTGTCCTTAATTTTTCTCTGTCACCAGTCCAAAAAGTGATGATCCGTTTGTTTCCATCTACCCAGTTGACTAACTTTGGCAAGTTTAGTTTATACAAGCTGACGATGTACTGATAATGTAGAAGGACTGAGGATAAATTAAAGATAAATAACGTATCCTCAAATGTGTGAACCGGGAAAAAAGGATTCGTGGCGATATACGGCCTCCAAAAACGGTTACCTCAATGCTAAAAGTGAAGTGCCCGATACGTCAAACTCGAGAACTACTGTAGTGGAAGTAACTAGGACAGGTACCAAAACTGGTGTGGTGAACAAGAAGAGGCCTGAGAAAGAAAAGTTCCTCATTGCCTTGATACTGGCTCTATTCATATTTTGCGGAATACTCATGACTATGGTATTCAATAATAAAAGTCCTTTATGCTCTGGTAAGTAAAATATACTTTCCAGTGTTCTCTCTGTCAATGTGAAACAGTACCATTATTTTATTAGTTGGGCTTAACGTTTCCATCAATCTCGTATAATGTTCGATATGGAGATAAAAAGGCTTTTATATATTATGATGAAGCATTCAAAATCCCACTTCTTTGAAATATATTTTTGGTGAATTTACTAAAAATATCCGTTGTGATAAATAAATATGTTACTTGACGAATGTCAAGTTGAAAATTACAAACATTCAGTTTTTGCTTTGTTATATATCGCACACTATAGTGGTTCTAACAGCTTTTCGTTTTTTTTCCTTGGAGAACAAAGCAAACTACAGAAACAAATTAGGGTAATACAACACAAAAATTAAATATTACGAAAAATGTCAGTGATCCATATTTTTTGGTCAATACTGTTGGCAGTTATTCAAACAACGTATTTGTTCAAAAAATTATGAGAATGTTGGAATTTCGCGAGCAACCTACATTCGATTAACGACTTTTTTTTGTGTGTGTGAACAATCGCCTCAAACATATGTTCACAATTTCAGCTGTTCAGCATGTTTAGTTTGTTGGTGAGAGTTCTTTAACAGTAAAGTTTGAGGTGTGATGAGTTGAACCTCAAAACGATGAGCAGCCACAGTCCGTCGCGTATTTCTGATATGTATCGCTCTTGGTGGAATCAAATATGTGCCAAGTCACTTGAACACTTTCCGTGAAACTATTTATAGAAGAAGAGATAAATCTCCAACCTCTCTTCTATGGATGGAATCCAGCAGCTTCATGGTATGTTTAGGGGTAGAGCTCCATACATGAAAACAATACCATAAAGAAAGTGCGATCTGAGCTTTACAAAACATCAAAAGTTGCTGATGTGTTTACAGTTTTCTGCTTCGGAACAGTGTGCCAAGATCTTGAGAAGCAGCCTTTGCAATTCCAGCGATTATATCGGGGACATTTATCTTTTTGGAGGAAACCGATGCCCAATTCGAAGTCACTTCTAGATCCTCATTAAGATACGCAACCTCGTGCTGCCGGTTGATTGCGTTATTCCAAATATGGGTGACATACGATAGAAGGTTGCCGTTGCAAAGCAAAGCGACTGATGGTCTATGGTTATTTGGAAGATTTTTCTTGCCCTTTTTTATGAGACAGGTTGAAATGTCTGTAAAATACTGGTGCGAGTTTATTTGCGCACTTTTTAAGTATGATAACGCACTTTATCAGGACCAGACGCCTTGTTTATATTGAGCTGCTTCAAAATAGGCATGACTAAACTTTGTCGAGAAGTAATTTCGGGCATTCTGGATTCTAGTAGGTATGGGAATAGTGGGTGGTGCCTTTCCCAGAAAATCGACTGTGGAGTGGGACACAAAGTGTTCAGCTAGTAGATTTGCTTTTTTATGGCTTTTGTTGCAATTTTACCATCCGATTGTGTTAGTGGTGGAATTGTGGATTCTGTAAAGTTTTGATTAACAGCTTTAGCTACCGACTAGAAAGATCTAGACCCGTCGAGATTTATCCTAAGCTGTTGCGGGCCTCAACAAACCTAGTTCGGCAATGAAATTTTTGTGCCACTTTCGGTAGGCGATAGCTTGCTCGCAATTTTTGTTGAACCAAGGTTTGCCGTAAGAAGTTCATTTCCTTGAAAAAGGAATATATGCAACCATGGACGATAGAATAACTTAGATGGATCTTTAGATCTGAAAAAAACCTTTTGTGTGAAAATGGAAGTAAGTGCTCAGAAACACTTGAAATGTCGACAGTGGTATACGGTGATTGTACTCTGAGTCAGAAAAATGTTTACAAATAATACAAGCCTTTCACAGGAGATCGAGAAGATGTGAATGACGAGGCTCGCCCTATACGCCCTAGCACATCAACAGCCGATGAAAATGTTGAGGAAGTGAAGAAAACTTATGTAGAATCGTCGAATTACTATTAAAGAAGTTGCTGAGGATGTCGGCAAATTGATTGGTTCATGTCAGGCGGTTTTTTCGGAAATTTTCGGTGCATGAAGTATGTGGCAGCGAAGATCGTTCCAAAATTGTTGAATTTTGACCAAAAAAACGGTCGCATAAGTATCGCTTAGAAGGGTCATTACTGGTGGCGAATCATTGATATATGGTTATGACAAAGTCCAATTGTCCCATTGAAAGAGCTCAGAAGAGCCAAGACCAAAAAAGCACGCTAACTTCGATCAAATGTCAAGGTTTTGCTCAGTGTTTTCTTCGATTATTGTGGCGTAGTGCATCAGGAGTTCTTGCCACATGGTCGTACGGTCAATAAGTATTATCTTGACGTTATGCGCCACTTGCGAGAAGCAATACGAAGAAAACGCCCGGTATTGTGGAAAAACCATTCATGGCTTTTGCTGTTCTCTCGAAATAATTAACATTGAACAATGATTATGTTTTCAAGTAGAGTTCAAAACAATCGATACATTTTTTTGAGAGGTGAAAACAAGAGTTCTTTACTTTACTTAAAAATGTAGGACCTGCCCGAGCCAAAGACTTCCCAACACATATTGCATATAGAGACACTAAATGTACATATTCTCATTTTTCCTACACATTTTAAATTGCAAAGATGAGTAAACTGCGTTTATGTTTCAGATAAAAAGTCTTCTGTTTGTCTCACTGAAGAATGTGTCCGGACGGGTATGTATGCATCTCCAGAAATCTTGATACCTTTTCCTTTCACTATAAAAGTTCATTGTTCAGCAAACAATGTACTTTTATCACCGGTTTTTACTTGGTGACGTAATTGGTGAATTTTTGAAATATCGGTCACGTGATATTTCATTTGAAAGTTATTTTAATTGAACTGTATTCAGCTGTTTTGATTAGTTTTAGTGCACGGAGTGGATAGAAATTCATATTGAATTTTAATTAGATATTGACTACACGCTCAACGAAATTCAATTATGAATTATAATGAAAGAAATTGTTCTTCAAATAAATTAAACATACCCAAGATAAAAATCATTATTATTGAGTACAATATTGTAAAATGATGAAGTTTCAATAATTCAACCGCTTACTACATAAAAACAGATAAAACTCTTACATGAGGTCAATATTATAAATTATACTTTTCAACAGATCGTTTTTAATTTTTAATAACTATTAATAACTATTAGCTTTGTAACTTTTTTGTCAACCTTCTAAAGAAATACATTTCAGCATCATCTTTATTATCCGCAATGGATCACAGTATGGACCCTTGTGTGGATTTCTTTCAATACGCTTGTGGAACGTGGAACAAAAAACATATTATACCGGAAGATAAGAGCTCTATTAGTACATTTGAAGTAATGGCTGACCAGTTACAAGTTGTTCTCAAAGGTATATTTCCTCATACAATACAATACGAAACTGACTACAAATATTAAATTATAAATTTTTTTTCTATTTATCAGTTTTCAAAAATTTATTGTTTTCTTGCATTTCAAATATATTTGCTTGTTTCAAAAGTTTTGTCCGTTCAATTGTCAAGTGTTCTTGTAGCTCCATATCTCAATATATATTCATTCTACTGTGTCTGGAATATACTGATCGATAGAGAATTGCGTACTCTATACCTATATTGATGCTGATAATTTTTTCCAAATTTCAGTTTTTTGCCTCTTGTTCAGCTCTTATAAATGATGTCGTTAGGTGAGTTTCGGTTGATTTTTCTCTACGAATTCAAAGCAAACCAAAGCGCTACTGAAATAGTCCAAAAAATTAACCAGGTATTTGGCAATGATAGTGTTAATGAACGTATTGTTCAACGTTGGTTCGCGGAGTTTCGTTCCGGATTAGCCTCGAAGATGAGCCCTGAAGTGGTCCAGGACGTAATCCAGGACGAGGATTCGAAGACCCTGGTGGAGACAGAATCAGATAAAAACGGCCTTCGTCTACTTATCATCGAATCCCGACCATACAATTTTAATGCCGACAGAATTAATGGACTTGTGTTACGTTGGCAAAAGTACATCGATACAAACATAAGTATTCACTGAGATATAATAAAGTGAACTCATAAAAACGGACAAAACTTTAGAAACAACCTAATGGTTTACGTTTCGGAAATATTCACTATGCGTATCGATACTCATTCCATCCTTCCCTGCATCGATTACGTCACACGTTTCCCTCTTCCACTCACTAAAGTCTCTCTCTGAAACACAAACCAACGACGAGCGACCTTGAAATGCACTCGTACCCGAGTTGTTCATCTACTGGTTTGAATTTCCCGCTGTACGCGCGATAGTTTCTGGTTGGTTGACTGAATGACGACAAAAGTAAAGGAGTGGTGGTGTTCTGTAGAGGACACATAATTGACGTCTGGAGAGACGAATCTCGGACTTTTGTCCCTTCCGTGTGAACTGGACCTGAGGTCCAAAAATCGTCAGAATGGACCTGCTCAAATTCGCACGTGTTTTTCTATAGGGAATGAGCCATAACTCTTGCAGCTATAATACTATTTGCCGTTCTCAAAACTAAAAAATTGCCTTCTAAAAATACCTAAAATAGAAACAGGTATATTTTAAAGAATCTCTTTCAACATTTGTCGAAGGAAAATACCTATTTGCGTCTAAGACGTTTTCAGAAGTGATTTTTTTCGGAATCGTTGCTGAGACTTCGAGATATAACTCTCGTCCTCGCAGTGGATACAGATACAACTGATGCTGTCTGATGCAGTATCAAACGAAACGTTTTGTAGATCAGGTTCCATTCGACCGCGGCCACGTTTTCAAATTTATCTCCGATTAGTTCGGGAGATATTCGAATAGAGCCGAAATTTGCTTCCAAGATATGAAAAACCAAAAACAATTTCTCACTTCCATTTTTCAAGGTGTACAAGATGGCGTTTACAGATTTACAATCCAACGTTTCGTCTCCGAGACCGGACCGAACTGGAAAAAAAGTGGCCTTTGTAAGTTAGCTTTTTTTTCGAAAACTCCAGTGATGTACTTCACATTATCATAATTCCCTACATTTTCGTTTCACCAATTTACCTTCTGTATCACTTACGGGTTTCGATTTTCCTTTACTGCTCCCCCTTATCTTGAAAAAATTATATATGACTGTTACTGACTGTGATTGGCCTTTTCAGCAACTTTTTTCGGTTTGATCTTTTCAGTTTGCCCTTTATAACACTTCTGCATATCCTCTATTGATTTTGCTTTGTTTATATTTTAGATTAGAAGTTATAAATCCATATTACCAGCGAGAAACATTAACTCATCCACAAAAATTGTCTTTCAAACAATATGTAATGCCATGAAATTGCAAATGATATTCTACCAACTTGAAGAACGTGGAAAACTAGTATTATTATTATTATTTCAGGAGTTTTGGAAGAACCCATCGGTATGAACGATAACGATGCAACTAGGAAAGCCAAAGTTTTCTACAACTCCTGCATGGATTTACGTGAGTATTTTAGGTCGGGTACCAATATTCAGATACTAGAAAGAAGATAGTAAATCTGTAGACTATTATCATTGTATTTTTCAACTTACGATGAAATGGAGTATTTTCAAATTCATACAATGTCAAATTAGTTTTGAGTTGAGGTGATCATAATATTACAATTATTATAGTGTGTTAATTATTGAACTGAATAATTTATCTAGCTTTTAGTCTAAGATACAAATTAGAAACGACCTTTACACATCGAGGAAAAGTATTTTATATGAAATTTAGTATGTTTGAAATTGATTCGTGAGTGTGTTGACTGAAAAAAATCATGGCCAGTTTATGATTATTCAAGTAACACTTCATATCATCTCATAATAAAGTCGGAGTCGTTTCTGAGGACTGTATTAGGCATTCTTCGATGCGACTATATACTATATTCAAGCTCTACAAGAAAAAACTCATCGTAAGTGAAGAATTCAAGGTACTTTGTCGAATCCACAGAATAATATCANCACATTCATTCATTCATTCATTCACTCATTTTGTTTTTATTTTGCTTGTTTCACTAAATATAATTTATTTAGAATATTTTTCACTCACTCTCTTCTCACTCAACTACTCACAGTCGACTGATGAAATACGTCTACAAAGCAGTATTATGTGTGGACGAGGCAACTGTCGCCTATGTCGTTCGACCTTGTCGATCGGCATAGTGTGGACGCCCCTTTACAGAGATGATAATCATGGAAGTACTACGGTGATGTGTCCGGAACTGCTATTTTAAACTGAGGGACAAATAATTCACTCAATACAAGGAATTCCAAACTGGTTGACACTTTCACCGATTATAGCCAACATGTACATACACTAGTTCGAAACGTTGGCTTTTGAAGAAGCCGTAGTATGATACTATATCGACAAAGAACTGAACACCTTTTTAAGCCTATTAACAGCGTGAGACTTCCATAACATTCACAATGGAGAATAAAGATCGTTTGAACGTGATGATAAAGAAGACCGTCAAGTGTGAAACATTTAAATGAAGAGGATCTACTCATACGGGACAGTGTCTGAAAAACGAATTCAACTATTACTTATATACCCCAATACACCAAGAAAAAGGTCGTTAAGACCCTAATTGATCTTATACTTTTGAATTCCATACTCTTTGTTAATTTCTTCTCATTTTTTAATATACTCATCCCATTATTTAGATCCTGGAATTTATGTTCTCATACAACCCATATTTCTAAGGCCGGCCACTCACGTACAGTTTTAACTGACAGTTATAACTGCACAATTAAAACTTACGGTTAAAACTGTACGTGTGTGGCTATTTTGGTCACAGTTCAACTCCAATTTTTCAACTGTACAGTTTAATTGAAAGAAATGAAATTGTGTGTGTGTGACGGTTTGAACTGGTATTGTCAATACTTCTCAATTGAGTTTGTGTCGATAGCTTGGGTCAAACTTCCCCTGAACCCCACTACGCAAAACTAGGTGCCGTTTGTTTCTCCCACACGGTACCTTGCTTCGAAACCGATGAAAGTAATTTTTCGTACACTGTTTGCGTCATGCGCAAATAATTAAGAAAATATAATGGCTCTTTCCTCAATTCTTTTAATAAATTTATGTGGGAAGATGCATTTCGTTTTTGTAGCTACTTTTTGCACCACTGTTTACGCTTTTTCGTACTAACATTGCAAAAAGTAAAACGAGCGCTGCCTTATCGTTGTCCCGGTTTGAATCCATGGAAAAAACTGAAGGAATGAACAATTGAACTGCACTTATGTGAACATCTCACTTCTTAGTTGTTGAAACTGTCGGTTTTACCTGTACAGTTAAAACTGTACGTGAGTGGCCGGCCGGTTCCAGACACTATTAGAGAAGTAGTTGAAGATGTCGGCATAACAGTTGGCTCATGCCTTGGATATGAATCGTGGGGCAGCAAAGTTCCAGGAATTGTTGAATGACCTCCAATCGTCACAGTGCAAGAGCCCAGGAAAGCCAAGACCAAAAAAAAACACGCACTGTTCCCTCGATTACCGTGGCGTAGTGCATCAGGAATTCAAGCCACTTGATCGTACGGCCAATAAGGAGTATTGCCTTGCAGGTATGCCCCGCTTGTGAGAAGCAATACGAAGAAAATGTCCGGAATTGTAGAAAAACATTTCATGGCTTCTGCATCATGATAGTGCACCTGCTCACTCGTCATTTGTTAGCCTTATCAAACTGTTCAGGGGATAGATTTACCCCTGAATTTGGCTTGATGTTACAGCCTGAGATTTACCTAATGTTTTGAATCTCAAAAATTGCTGGCCACAGAAAATAAATGTTTTAAGTGCCCAGTTTAAAAACGGATAAACTAGACACTAGTAACACAGCGGGACAGACGGGTGGGTACGTTAAGCTTGGTGAAAAGAATTAGTTGAAACAAGAATAAAGAAGTATGTTTAATTATCTCAAAAACACCAAGTGACAATGGAAGGCTTCGATTCACTATTTCACTTGAAATTTCACAATAATAATATTTAAATGAATATCAGTAAGGCAGCCAATACTGTAATCAAATCTTATATCGATAAACAATAACTTCAATTTCAAAATAAATAATTACTGACCGTAATCACCTATTAGTATCAGTAACCCTGAATATCATAGATCTTATTCAATGAAACTAAATGTGACATACCTATACCGCAGTACAGTTTGGTTTTCAGTGAACTGGTCTATATTCGGTTCTATATTTAATGATGATATTGTGATGAGGTAAATTGAATGAAAGGTGACTACTGCACTATTAGATTGACATGAATACTAACAATAGTTAACTGGATATTAAATTCTTGGTGATTTTCTTCAATAAATGTGGTTACATGGAACGGACTCACCGGGATTGATGAAATATGCTCTCAGCTATACGGTGTGGCCAGGTTTATATACAAGAAAAATATACTCTTAGTTAAACGCACTCCTCAGGTTTTTATACACGGCAACAGTGGTGTCTTTAACGGAACAGTTCTGGTGCCTCCTCAGCTACGAAGCATCCGGAAAGTATAAATAGGTCTCAGATGACAGAGACTGCAGGGACTCTAGAGCTTCAGCATATGAAAGAAGCTTCAGAATAAACTCCAGGTGGTTACAGGAGATAATACAACGGAATATCGGTGAACTCATATACCTCACCTAATATCAGGATACCAAAACGAGAAAATATATCTTGTCGACCCATAGTGATCTACGGTAACAATCGAGGAAAATGAACCAGACAAAACCAACTAAATTGACAACATAAAACATCAACAATGAATGTCCAAGTGAAACAAATCACTAAAGTACGTAGTCGCCGTGGTTCTATCCAAAATTGTATTTTCTTGCAGTATTTTCGCGACGTCGAAAACGAAGTATAACACATTGCTTGTTTGTAATTTTTTTACCGAAAACGACACCGTAATCATGCTTCAGCCACCATATTTACCAGAAATGGCCAGTGATTTTTCACTGTTCCCAAGATTGAATAGACCCATGAAAGGGCGGCGTTTTGCGACAATTGGGGAGATTTAATCCGAATCACTGAGATAGCTCAAGAACATACCAAAAAGTGCCTATCAGGACTGCTTTGAGGATTCGAAGAAACGTGTATTATACCTATGGAGACTACTTCGAAGGAAACAAAATAGAAATTGATGAATACACTTAGGGAAGTTAAATCGTTGTCCCCCAATTGTTTAATCAAAAGGTCAAACAGTTCCTCATCAGCTCAAGTTTCTACACTATTGCAGAATATTTAGACACCCCCCCATTCGCATGAAAATGTTCAGATCTTTAATCGTATTTAAGTTATTAATGTTTTGTTGAGTTATTTTTAAATACAATTTTTGTAATATGACTTGCTACAAATATAAATTACATGAACGTAGTTAAATAAAGTATGTCTGTCAAAATATTTTTTGAGAAAAATGAAAATTAACCTTATTCTATGAACAGTTTCAGTTTTACCAAATTATATCTCTGCGGTTACCGTTTTCAGGTAACATAAGGAACGTTGGAGACAAACCTATAAGAGAAGTACTCAAGCAACTCGGAGATTGGCCAGTTATAACGCAGAATTGGACTGCTCCCTCTTTTTCCGTAGAAGTTTTGATTGGTTTGATAAGAAGCCATTATAATGAAGGTTTCATCATTGAACAATGGGTGGGACCTGACGACAAGAACAGCTCGGTGAATATAATTCAGGTATATTTTTACTTTGAAAAATTTCAATGATTACATAATTTTTTTGTTACTTGCTAGCCATCTGACTTGTCTAGTTCTTCCAAGTATCCGGCGAAGACTGCACCCAAATGGATTCATTTAGTTTTCCCTCCGTATGTTTCCCGACACCCATTTTAACAATACTCGTTTTGAACCCTGTACTAGTTTCTACAAGCAGTTGGTAGATGTTTGTCATATTCTTCTGGACATAATTGACGTTGTCCATAAATTGCTTGCCTTATGTGATTCAGTCGTCACAATCCCATAAAACTGTCTCTTTCCCTTTGTTGCATTGACTGCAGCTAAGGTCTCCATTATACAGCCCTATTTTGTTCAGGAGTTCAGTAAAACTAGCCCTGTAATCATTCTGATGCAATTTCTGCTTATTTCAAGAAGATCTTCAGTTCTCTTCTCGGATGGTTCCCTCATTTAGATTTTTCCTGATGACCGATTTTCACCATTATATACAATGGAGAAATGTTTTTTAAATGATGTTTAGACCTTTTTGTTGATACCCCTACCGAAATTTTAGAGTTGACCATTTTCTTAGGGCGGGAGGGTATGTTAATGAATAGTCTTCGTCGATATCCTAATTGCACGACCTTCTGAACGGCCCATCGATTTTTAATTCAAAACACAAAATTGTTTTTGATCCATCGTTTTGAAAATAACAAAAGCACAATAACTCTCAAACGTATGAGTAGAATATCGTGAAATTCCAACAGCTTTCTTTTGAAGGTTAGTACCAACTGAAAAAGCGAGAATGCAACAAGAATAGCGCCGTCTATGTGTTAGGCCCGAGACTTATCAGCCCAGGTAGTAGCTCGGTAACAATTCGTAAAACTTTTCAATTACATGTATTGAGAACTTATTAAAATAATTATTGAATTGCATGCATTGAAAACTTACTAAAATAATTATTGAATTAAAATGTACTCTTCTGGATTTTCAGATGGATCAGACAGCTCTAGCACTTCCAAGTAGAGATTACTATTTGAAATCCAGCAGTAAAGAAGATCTGCTAGCATATCACAAGTATATGACAAATATTGCAATACTTCTTGGTGCCAATGCGACTTCTGCCGGCGAAGAATTGCAACAAGTTCTTGACTTTGAAAAAAAATTGGCTAATGTATGTATCCCATTAGGTTTAATCAAGAATTTCCATATTTCATAAAAGGAGCTGGTTCAACAAACTTAGTGATACTTTCTCAGGAACGGACTCAGACTGCAACAACTGCTGAATGTCAACGATAGGAGCAACCAATATGCATAGAAGTACCATGGTGTAAATACTTGGATCATTTCCTACCTAAAATATTTTGACGAAAAAACTAGATCTACGGCACTCTTGATTCTTCTTAAAATAAAATAGAGATTGCATTTCATCAACAGAGGCGCTAAGCGTGTACAATGTGTGCAAAGTCTGGTCAAACTAATTTCTTACATGGAGAGATTTTGACGAAGTAAAAGCGAATCGGCAAAAACACCAGGGTTTCTATGCATTTTGGACCAACTTACTATTCTAGTACAAAACTCTTGAGCGACTCCAATTCGATTCAAACGATTGATCACTAATTTTGTTCAAAATCAAAACAGACTTGTTGAAAAACATACTCGTAATCGAAGAATATTACTGGAGTTTTTTCCCAACACCAAACCGTTATTTTAACACTTCGACACGTGTTTCGATCACCAAGGAAGATTAACCTTCCTCTTGAAGATGATCACTTGGTGATCGAAATACATGTCGAGGTGTTAAAATAACGGTTTGGTGTTGGGATGAAACTCCAGTAATATTCATCACTACACCAAAATAGTGCATCACAAGTTCATAATTGAGGCTTCAATATCAAATAATCAAAGTATGTTTCAATTGTAAGGAAACTTTCGAATTGCTTGAGAGTTTTTGGTGGTTTATTAGGTGAGGATGGCACTGAATAATTGTATATGGCCTGCAGAAATCGGATGAGCGGAAGCCATAGATGTCTGGTGAAATATTTTCTATAGAAAGAGATAATTGTACGAAATACTTTAATTCCAATCGATTGAATTACGTAATTTCATGTGCGAACTGTCATGACCAAAAAACTATTTGGTACAACGATATAAAATATTGTTACTCTTCCGGTAAATTAATATTGTACAATATTACAGACTTTAATTGCACCAGAGCCATCTTTTCAACTACAGCTCCTTTGTAAGATTAACCACCCTCTCAGCATGCTTTCGGAACATGTTGCCTCATTATATTTTGATTTATTGATTGAACTTATATTTTCTAATTCCAATTTTATTCCACCGGAGAAACAACAAACTTAATGCTACAAACTCAAAGTTTGTCTAAGTTTATCTAACCAAATAATAATTTTCTCAAAAAATTACATTTTTTTACTTCTCGTGTATACATTAATTTTACTATTACCTAAATTTTCAGGCATCCATTCCAGAACAGGATAGACATGACAGTAGTGTAATATACAAGAAATTGAATTTGAAAGATTTGGGCAAACTTGTGCCCCAAATAAATTGGCTAGAATATTTCAGAGCTATTTTTGATACTGATATCGGCGAGGAAGAGTACGTTGTTGCTTATGGACTTCCGTATTTCATTGAAATGGGAAAAATTATCGCTAACACAGAAAGAAGGTAAGTTATTTATTATTATTAGTTATTATATTAGTTGTTATTTTATTGAAACATTCGTCATTGTTATGACGTGTTGTTCAATCTAAGCATTGTAATTATCATTCTCTATTTTTTCAATATTCTCTGAATACATCAATCTAAAAGTTCCAAATCGCTTTCTGTATTTCTTTTCGGTTCTTGGTGCTCTAGTTATTTCAATTTTTGTTCTTCGTCTCTTAGGTTTTCAAATTTTTCTTTTCTTTTGACTTCATATTCTTCCAATTCTTCTTTTAATATATTCTACAGATCTAAATGTTTTATTATTTTCTGCCATTTTTTAGTTTGTTAGCTGTCCTCTTAATTCCTGCTTCTTCTTGACTTTTTGATTATTTCTGGAACTAACCCTTTTTGATGAAGGTGCAATTCCTTTTATTGTTCGTGGATGTTTTGAGATCTTTCTCCATAACTCACCATGATAATCTGTTCTGTGAATAGGACTGCATTCCATTCACTTTATTTTTCAACAAAATCTCCTTGGAGCTCTATACATTTCTCCCAGCGACGTTCAATAAGTTCGATACCGTTTTTCTAATAAGAACTGTTTTCCTCCTCAAAATAGCCATTAACGTCTTCATCGTTGGAAAATCTTTGATGCCTGATTCATTTTTTCAAATTTGAGAACAGAAAATAATCCGAGGGGCTAAATCTGGCGAATACGATGCATGAGGTAGCAATTCAAACTTCAATTCGTTAATTTTGGTCATTGCGACAATGGATTTGTGAATTGGTGCTCTGTCTTGAAGAAACGAAACTTTTTTTTGCCAAATGCGGCAGTTTTTGCTTGATTTGTTCACTCAAACGTTGTAATAACTTCGAATAATACAAGCAGTTGATAGTTTTACCTTTTTTTAAAATAGTTAATGAAAATTATTCCACACGCATCCCAAAAAGCCGATGCCATGACCTTGCCTGCAGATGAAACGGTCTTCGCCTTTTTTGGAGCCGGTTTTTCCTAAAGAAATGAACTTTAAATGTTCAACCCAGTCTCGGATATACCTACACAGTAGGTTAAATGGACTGACGCCTATCAGAAAACAACTACTCCACTGGCTAATACCACGAACGGTGTTGGATTATATCCGACAGGCGTCAGTGCAGGAATCTTCACAGAAAATGTCCTGCATATGCAATTGGCAATACAACTGAAAGAGTCGACCTTCAATTTTGGAACGGGCACACTTGCAGACCGGTTTCGGGCTCCTTGGCCACTCGTCAGTGCAAGATAGTGACCATCATCGACCTAAAGTCAATGATATTCCATAATTGAAAATCGAAATTCTTTCAAAGTATTTCATTCCTCGTCTTAAATTGGAGCGAACATCAAAAATGTCACTCCATGTAGTGGACGAGGTACTAATCAACTGCATATCCGAAATTTGCCGGATTCCTCTGAATGAGGAAGAAAAACTTTCTTATTAGTCAGTGGGCTATGCTTGAAGACAGGCAGTAAACGAATCTAAAAAAATCAACTTTAAATGTTCAAGCCCGTCTCGGATATACGTAAACACAGTAGGTTGAATGGACTGACGCTTATCAGAAAACAACTACTCCTCTGGCTAATACCACGAAGGGCGTTGGATTATATCCGACAGGCGTCAGTGCAGGAATCTTCACAGAAAACTTCCTGCATATGCAATTAGCAATAGAACTGCCTATCTTCAAGCATAGCTCATTGACTAATGAGAAAGTTTTTCTTCCTTTTTCAGAGGAATCGTGCAAATTTTGAATATGCAGTTGGTTAGTACCTCGTCCACTGGATGGACTGACAATTTTGTTTTTCACTCCAACTTAGGACGATGAATGAAATACTCTGAAAGAATTTCGATTTTCAATTATGGAATATCATTGACTTTAGGTCGATGATAGCCACTATCTTGCACTGATGAGTGGTTAAGGAGCCCGAAACCGGTCTGCAAGTGTGCCCGTTTCAAAATTGAAGGTCGACTCTTTCAGTTGTATTGCCAATTGCATATGCATATCCGACGCCTGTCGGATATAACCCAAAGCCGTTCGTGGTGTAGTTGTTTTCTGATAGGCGTCAGTCCATTCAACCTACTCAGGTGTAAAGTGATGAACCCATGTTTCATCAATGGTTATGAAACGACGCAAGAAATCTGCTTTTGCTGTGAAACTTTGATAAACACTCAACTGAAACATCTTCACGGCATTGTTTTTGCTCGAATGTGAGCAAACGCGGCACCCATCTTGCACACAGCTTTCTCATGTCCAAATTTTCAGATTGGACATGAGAATACGATACGATACGATGTACCGCACTTTTTAGAAATGCTTACTGAGACTGATAGCTCGCCCACTTTCAGTCGACGATCATTCAGTACCGCTTTGTGGATTCTCTTCACTGTTTCTGGAGTCGTCACCTCATTTGATCGACACTACGATGCTCGTTTTGACAGCTCGTATTGCCTCGTTTAAACTCTGATACCCAATATTTTACTATTGCAAACGAAGGAGCACACTCACCCAGAGTGGAATCCAGTTTATATTGGTTGGCCTGAGGCCTTTCATATGAAAGTATTGTAACACATAACGATAATCAATTTTCATCATTTTCACAAATTCACCGAAAACGTTCGCTATTGATGGCTACCAAACAAATACTAAACCAAGCAGCGTCTTCAAACTTGAAACATATGCTTTATAGATTGTGTACATTCTAATACAGTGATATTTTTTGTCAAGCCGGGTAGTTCTGGGACTAACCTCGTATGTTCATCCATTCATATGATGTTTGTGGTATTCAGTTGTTAGGCCGGGGCTGTTGGGGGTGAAAAACTTCTGATTTTGGCTCTTTTTAGGACGCTGCTGTCCGCTATCTGATTCCCAGTGAGAATTCCTCTAGGATATCCTGGATCGGCTCCGGCGGGTCTTCATTGCACCCAGGAGTCTGGCTGGGGGAAACGGGAGCTTTTTCCTGGGTATCCTTCTGAATCCTCCACGGGGATTCCAATTCGTTGTGAGCGAGTTGGTGGCATGGGTGTTCTCGCTGCTCATCGTTCTGGTCGCATACCGTCCTTGAAGTTCCTGAAATCGTTGTTTGATAGGTGTAGTATTGATGAGGTTATATAGGTTTACAGATGGGTATCGGTAGGAAAGGTTGTGTATTTTACGAAGGATTCTTCTCTCGGTTGCAAGGATACGGTGGGATAGTCTCGGGTGAAGCATACAGTATATCATCACTTTGTAGTCTAGGACTGGTCTCATGAAAGTTTTATAAGTGTGAAGGAGAGTTTTACTGTCGCATCTCCCGAGCTTGCCTCTCAGAGCTTTTAGCAGATTGGCTCTCTTCCGGACTCTGTCCAGTGTCTCTCTCAGGTCGATATCCCAATTGAGGGTCCTCGTGAAGGTGACCCCCCAAGTAGGACACCGAATCCTGGAGTATGAGGTTTTCTCCTAAAAGTCTGAGATTCAGGTTATCAGGATTTAATTTAGGACGGGTAGAGGTGTTAGAATGTCTGAATAGGATAGTTTGGGTTTTGGTGGGATTTATATTGATACGCCATTTGTTGCACCACTGCTCGAAATGGTCGATCATGTTTTGAGCTTGAATTTGCAGGCTGCGGGTGTTGGGAGCGGAAAAGTAAAGGATAGTGTCGTCGGCATACTGGAGGATTTTCTGGGTTGTGAGAACGTCGTGAGTATAGATGAGAAATAAGGATGGAGCGAGGACTGAGCCCCGGGGGACACCGGCTTTGGGAGTGAAAGGGGAGGATAAGGCATCGCCGACTTTAACGCCGATTTGTCGGTTAGATAAATAAGAAGCTACTAGTCTGATGAAATGATGAGGAAGATGAAGTTGGATAAGCTTTCAGATCAGGCCCGCGTGCCAGACTTTGTCGAAAGCTTTATGGATATCTAGAGAGATTGCAATAGTGGAAAAAGATGCGAAGGTTATCGAAATGAGGGTCTTTAGGGAGATGGAATGTGTGTTCGAGATTTTCGCGGAAGGCTTCTGCTCTGTCAGATGGTTTGGAAATGATGTTACCGTCAATAACTAGGTGACTGTCGGTTTTCCGTTTTTGTCCAGTAAGGACTTTGAATTTGTTCCTGAAAGCCGTTCGAATTCGGTAGTCAAGTTTTTTAGTCTCTTCAATCCACCTTTTCTGGGTGAATTGGTTGATGAGTAGACGTATGCGAGCGTTAAGTCGATTCCACTCGGTTTTTAGGACTCGGTCTCTAGTTCGGACGAAAGTTCTGTAAAGTTTACGTTTGGTTTTGTGGGTGGCTATCGGCTATATATAGCTGGATCTGATGTTACCAACTTGATGGAAAAAAGTTTGCAGTTTGAACATTATAAGTTTGGCTATTATAAGAAAACAAGTATAGCTGAGGCATCAGTCAATCTAATAATAACACTGATGATCTTCAAACATGACTCAACATCTGACAGATGCACCAAACTCTTACCAAAGTTCGAAAAAGACGAACACTTCAATCTAGCACAACACTATTAGAATCTTCATGCAGTCATTGTTCACTGTGGTTCTGGCGTTGAATCTGTTCATTATTACGTATTGGTCAAAGGCGAAACGGACTGGTTTAAGTTTGACGATAGTCGTGTCACTAAGTGTTCTGGTGATGTCTGGAATTTATTGGAGCCTCTGGAGACACCCTACATTTTGTTTTATGAAAGAGAGGACACTGGCAGATGAAGATCTTCAGATGATGTGGTGCTGCAGGTTTTCCCGGGTTTTCCAGCAGCTGAAAAAGCAAATGCGCCACTGGAATCAATGAAGTTGCCCCGGAGCGCCAATTAATTTTTGTTGTTTCATAATTTCATGATTTGTATTAAATTTACTGAATCTGCTTTTTTGAATTTTCAGAATAATTCATAACTACGTTTTATGGAGATTAATTATGTCGCTTTCCTCACATCTGATAGACGAATACCAGAGGGAACGTGTAGAATTCAGGAGGATCTTACAGGGTGTATCCAGCGAAAGACATAGATGGTCGCAATGTGTCGAATGGACGAACAAAAAAATGGGGATGTCCGTGGGTGCCTTATACATAAGAGATAATTTTAATCATGAAAGTAAGGTGAGTCTTGATGATACTAGTTTGAACCGAACAGAGAAGTTTTAATTTTTTCAATATAGATTCTTAAAATTCAGGTAAAATAAAACAAAACGCCAACGAATTATCAAAATATATCTACAGATAAGAAAGTTATGGGCAGTTGAAGTTGCGTCCGCAAGAATAATTTGTCCCACGTGTGAAGTCATCTGACCCAGACGACTATGTTCATATTAGCTTAGTTGTCTTATGGCCGTATTCTCCGTACAGTATCAAGATCGCTTAATTCGTAAATTTTATATGCACCGTAACATAAAACAGCCACAAATCCTCCAATTTGGCGGCTTATCTTTTTGTAAACCTAACCAAGCTCGTTGTCTGCGATGGGGAATGAGAAATAAATAATATATATTTATATACCAACAACATTCAACCCGTCTTCGGGCTAATTTTACTGCCTCATAAAAAAGTTCTTATTTTACTCACTAGACCATAGTTGATTTATTTTGTGACAACTTTCATAAAGTGAAAGTTTGGTGTATGTATGCCCTAACTTTAGTATTAAGCAAAGCGTGCAACAACATAAAAATGTTCGCGCCTCCGGCGGGCTTTTCTGTGTGTATATAGTATATATGACTCGAGCCTCCCCTGTTTTCTAATGCACGAGCCGTCACTGGGTGAAGCTAATTTGATTTCCAGTAATTTTAGTTCTACTTAGTGTTTTTTCATTATGAGGATATTTTTCTGTTTCCATGTGCCGGAATTGAGTACCCAAAATATGGAATATCTTGTCTGTACTTGAGATCCCGTCTACTCGAACACAAAATATCCATATTGTCGAAACTAAGAAATGATTCTGTAGGTTGCGTCAAATCTTATTTTGTAACTTGTCAAAATTACATTATGCATTTTAGTAGTGGTAGTTAGAAAAGTGGTAGTTAGAAAAACCTTTTCGAAAAGCTTCTCGTTTTGGATATTTTGATGAATAACCACACTTTTAAATTTTTTTCCGCGAAAAAACATCAAAATTTGACAAGTACATAATGCTAATCGTGCGATAAATATTCTTTTGGTGATTTTTCATCTCGATCGAAACATAAATTGATGCCGATGTAGATTTCGAATATAGCTATTGATAAAAAGATCTCAAATGAGACACATTTTACTGGCCACTCTGTATAGAGTGGTTTTCAATCATGACTATTTCCACGCGCTTAAGAAGGTCATTGAACAATTTTTATGTGGAGACTGACTGAAACGCATCAAGCATTATTTCGTGAACATTTCGGCTCACATGTGAAGAAATAAAGATCATCAGTATTTCTAATGTGAAGTTTGTATGAAAAAAATATGTTTTTCCGTTGACCAGCTGTCGCACCCCTACGAACGATAACCCTCAGATGTCGAAAATTAGGATTAACGAGGTTTTGCCTTTTAACGTGTGATTCCCAACACGGTTGAGTTGGGATAGATATATAATGATCAAGTCATTTCATTGTTAAAGAATGTATTTAATTTTGAATTCGTTTTTATTTTCAGGAAACTGCTTTGCAAATGATACATACAATTAGAGAAGCATTCAATGAATTATTAACTGAAAATCATTGGATGGATGACGAGACTAGAGCTGTTGCTAAAGAAAAAGCTGATGCTATGAATGAAAGGATCGGCTATCCCAAATTGATAACTGATAAAGATGAACTGTACAAAGAATATGCGGGTGTGAGTATACTCCATTAGCTCTGACCTTTGATATTTAAAATGTATTCCAATTCACCAATTATACGGTTATTAATACAGGAGTGTTGAAGTATGTCTCAGGAATACATAATAGCAGAAAAGCCCACAATGCAAAATTGGGATTTACTCGAGCGTCATTGGGACATATCATTAGGTTGCAAAGCTTAAATGATAAGAAGAAAAAAATGTTACAATCCAACATCGAATAAAATTTTGTGTTACCTGACAAAACTTCTGTGGAGTCGAATTGATTATCGAAATTGTAGTTTTACTGACGTCACTTGTAGGTATATAAAATATTAAAGTCTCACAGACCAAGCGAACGATTGATTCCAGTTCAGCTGTCTCTAATCTGTTCTCTCTCTCTTTCTCGAAAGTTTCAACTTAGTTATATTTCTGCTTTTGTATACCTATCTTTATTTCATATGAAAAATTTTCCTTCACCTCGTCTTCGTAGTTATTCCCGATTGCCGGATTATATCGTAGGATCTCATATTTGAGTGTTCGTTTTGTTAGTTTTTTTTTACAACCATATTACCGATCGCTGCCAATCTGATGAACCATTTCTCGCCAAAACTATCGTGTTCTCGTTATTTATTTTTCAGGTATTTCATCAATAAATAAATACATATTTTTGTGCCTTGATGAACAAGATACTCCATTTTAGCGATTGAACCTCTTAAAAAAACAAATTGAAGTTGTAAAGGAAACACAGAAGAAAAAATGAACAAAACTTTCATCTTTATTTTGAATAACTTCTCAATAGCGAAGGTTCGTGTTCGAAATTACATGTCTCATGTCTTCAGGGTTTAAAGCATTCCATATTTCAGTGAAAACTCCCGCTAGCTCATTCAAATTATTGGGTAAACGTGTCCCAAATATTTTCTATCAGTTTCAGATCCGTGCTGTTTGTTGGCCAAGTCATTCTCTCTATTACAATACCTGCTAAATAATCTTGAACAATCCGAACAACGTGAGGTCGAGCTTTATCCTACTGCGGCAAAAAATTGTCGCCAATATAGGGAGCAGAGAGCACACCAGGTTCATGCGAGCAGTCGAAGTAAATGCTACCCAAACCATAACCGATCCTCTTCCATACGAAGTCGTGTTCAAGAAGTTACATTGACCATATCTCACTATATCTCGTCGGTACAATCGTAGTTGTCTGTCTTAATTATGCAAACAAAATCTTGACTCATATAACTAAAGAACTCTTTCCCAGACTCCATCATTCGTCATTCGATATGTTCTCTTGCAAAATTCAACCTCACTCTATGGTGCTTTGGAATTAAAGCAGACCCTGGGGCGGTTATTCGAGGTGAGACTGGTGAGAGGATATGTTCAGCAGGTATCGACGGATAAAATCTGTTGAAATGTGGATTCTAGGTGTTTGCTGCAGAAGTATCTGTAGAAATCTACGGTTAAAAACCCATCTCAACGCAGAACGTCTTATCTGTATCTGTAGAGTAGGGCCACATATGTGTCCCATTGTACATTCTTCCAAGGAGTTGTCCTCCTAGATCAGCGTCCATCCTGTCCTTTTCAGGAAGGTGAACAGGTCACTAGGAGACATCTCCTTTATATTGGCAGGTGTAGGCCCAGACTTGCCGAACACACACTCTCTTTGACAACCTTGAGGTGTCCCACGGTGGCCTCCGCGAAGGTTTTAGAAGGTGCAGCGATATTACTGTCGTTGCACGGCTTCTTCAATCTTCTTGGGGTTCCTCCGTGGAGGTGCACAAGTTAGGGAGCTTCCCTGCAGGGGCAGCCGGTTCCTTGCCTTTATTCAAGGCGGAGCTCTTGGCGCCCGCTGCAGGAAGTGCCTTTGCTGTTGGAGGTGATCTGTTATGTCCAGCCTCATTCCAAGCGGTAGATTGGGGTGGACATTTCTGTTCATCCCCAGCTACCGCCTTAGATTGAGGTGAGCACTTCTGTGCAGCCTCGGGATTGGTTTTTGTTTTTGTTGTTTCTGTTGATTCGTTCATGTGTGTTCCCACGAGTAGCAGGGAAACACCCTGCGGCCATTCAGCTGTCAGCACGATTGCTTACACCTCAGCTTGGATAGGCTGGTCCACGGTGGCGTTTTTTGCAAAGGCTTTTGGAGGGGTTTAGTTCCTCTCACCCTACTTTTTTATACCACTGACCAGGTGTCCGGCGACTCCATACGTAAGACCACATTGGCTTCCCGGACAGGGCCTCCAGTCCCCTGTCCTTTCCCCTATCCACCACCTGGGGACGTACCCGATAGGTAGCCCAACCCACGGGGCAGAACGTCTTGAATAACGGTTCTGAAACACAGTGATCACACGATTTGCCGGATACCGGATGTTCGGCCAACCTTGCAGCCGAATATTCTGACGTCGACAAGCGAAACCGCTTACTACCACTTAATGTCCTCAATTGCAATTATTCAGTAAAAATAGTTTTATTTCTGATTAGATACCTACATAGATATAATCCTTACTGAAATGAAACAGAAAAATGAAACATCAAATTACCTACTCATTATTATTGTTACTAGTTTTCACTATTATTTCCAGCTGAATATAACAAAACTAGAATTTATGAAGAATATACTCAATATCCTCAAATTTGAAGCGACGCAGAATTTAGAGAAACTGAGGAAACCTGTTGATAAAGAAAAATGGTCTACAGAGCCAGCAATTGTGAATGCCTTTTACAACCCTAACAAAAACGATATTGGTAAGTTTGAAGAATATGCTACGTTCTTGAGTATATTTGAAGTTCATTTGCAGTATTTCCGGCTGGAATTTTGCAGCCATTATTTTATAGTCAACATTTTCCTAAATCGCTGAATTATGGCGGTATTGGTGTCGTTATTGGACACGAAATCACACACGGATTCGATGATAAAGGTAAGTACCTTATATTATAGAATTAATATGTATAAAACCAACTCATGTCCAAATATCACCACGAGTTGAAATTTGAAGATTAGAAAATAACACGTTTCCAACGTAATTGTAGTAATCTAACGATCTGAATTGAAAGCAACCTTCACCCATCTGTTCAACTGATGAAAAAGATTTTACGTGAAAATTAGTTATGTTAAAAAATAAATGGCGAGTAGGTTGGCTCAAAAAAATCATGTCCATTATGTAAATTTTGACGGCCAAAAGTATGACGCCTTTAGAATATACAAACCTTAAATCAGCTATATTTCACATGGCCTAACTATTGTGTTAGTACGTATAAACAAATCGGTAAATATTAGTAATTTACATCCATTTGTTTGGTAAGTGAATCTCATACCAAAGTAGGCGCTGAAATTCACCAAACCTAAAAGAGCAAAATTTTTATGCGAGTAAAGATGTGCAACACAGAGGCCAAAGCGAACTGTCCTGTACGATAGAAAAGGACGCAACATTGCAGCTGGACGCGGTGCGTCCATCGAATGGAAGAAAATATGCATGCTAGTTGTTCGTGTAATTGAGAAGGATAGCGATAGACATTTTGGTTGGTCCTTCATTAACGGCAGAAACTTGACATGGACCTAGAAGTGAGTTTTTGTAATTAAATGAAAATCTCATAACACGACTTCATTGCACTCGAAATTTTTTATTTCAAAAAGCCAACAATTTTTGAAAGTTTCAATGTTAAAATCAATCACAGAGTCGTCCGAGTCACACATAAAACACTTTTTATCAATTTTTTTATTACGAAGTACTGATAATAAATAAAGATAAGTACATAGTACCAGGTTGTCTGAATTGCAATATGTGTTATTTGTACATGAATATTATTGTCGTACAAATAGAGACGCACCGCGCGCAGCTGCAATACAATGTAGCAGCCTGAACAATGTAGAAGTTACTCCTGACTGCAGTTAAAATATTTCAAATCAAAATGTTTTAGTTGAGATTAATGGTAAGAAAAAAAAATGTTTTTTTAGAATGAAAATAAATCGAGTTCGATAGTTTTAATAAAATTTTGGTAAAGAATCAACCCAACCCAAACATTGTTCCCACACACCAGAACTGCAGTACACTTCTCGACGCGCGTTTCACTAACCAAGTTTTAGAGTCACCACGTGATGAACTATGCTAAATCCCAATTTTAACTTCACCTATTTCTATGTAACGCCTATTTATATATCTGTATATACAGAAAGAAATCAGTACTTTTGGATATATTCGAGAATCAATAAAGATATTCACATACAAAATCACGATATGCTCCAATCAATAGTAGAGAAAAAACTTGGCGACAAAATAAAATACCAAGAATTGCTTAGTTTGTTGACAGTGAAGTTCAAGAGAGATCGTTTGTTGAATAATGAATAGATGAAAAACTTTGGAGATGATTTACGAAGTATAGGAATGAAGGGTTGAAGGGTTTCACGGCTGGCGTCAATGTGTTGGTTGGTTTTCGGGTTTTGACGTGGTCTTCTTTGGTTATAACTAATTAATACAGTTTATTGTATGATTTTCACTATAAGAGGGTTTTACAAAAACCGCGACACGTTTCGCTATACAATAGATTTTTCTAGCTATTATTGTAGATCATGCCCGAAAGAAAGTAACGCTGGCCGCCACTGGTAACCATAAACCAAACGTGACGTAGCTAAGAGCGCGCGAATGTACGATGACACTCGAGAAGTAGCGAGAATAATGCTACCGATAGTGACGGAACTTTGGCGAAATTTCTACGATTTTCAAACGCTAGCGGCGGGCATATCGACACAGTCAAGTGGACGTTACAGTGCGGTAAGCGAAGTGATTTAGTAAGGCGATAGACCATTAAATGGTAATTGAAGTTTTAGTTGAAGTGTTTGTTGTATTTAAAGTGAAATAAAGTCAAGTTTGATTACTTAGTCTAGTCAATTATTGGTTAACCCACGGGGAAAAACGTAACACTATTGCAACTGCGGCAGCCATCTTCAGTGGCGTGGTCGAACGTATCAATTTTCAGTTGATACGTCACTGAAGATAACTGTTGCAGTTGAAACGTTTGGAGATTGTAACCGAAGAAAACCACGGCAATACCCGGAAACCAACCAAAATATTTACGAAGTATTTGCAAAAGGAAATAAAACTTTTATTGTACTGGATATCATCTCCGACTCAATAAATAAAGCAAAAGTACGTTCGAACTTATTTACTAATAATTCTTCATTATTCCATCCCATCTGATCGCGCCCTTTTTCGATCATTCTGAACGTTTTTACCATGGAGTTCCACATCTCACCCAAGTATTCAATCAATATTTACCGATTACATGAAAACATTGAAAATTTCAGAGAAAAGTATGTTATTATTTTTCAGGGAGGCAATTTGATAAATATGGAAACATGATGCAGTGGTGGAATAACGTTACCATAAAAGCCTTCAGAGAGAGAACACAGTGTATAATAGATCAATATTCCCGGTATAAAATCCAGGAAGTGGGTCTGTACGTTAATGGCAGGATGACGCAAGGAGAGAATATCGCAGATAATGGAGGCCTCAAACAGTCGTTTAGGGTTAGTTAACTCACCTATATCGTTTATTGAGTTCAATGAATAATATTTCACAGGCATATCGGAAATGGGTGTCCCAGCATGGAGAAGAGCCCGACTTGCCAGGACTCAACTTGACTCATGACCAGCTATTTTTCCTGAACTACGCTCAAATCTGGTGCGGCTCGATGAGGCCTGAAGACGCTCTAACAAAAGTTAGGTCAAGTGTTCATTCGCCTGGTCCCATTAGAGTTTTGGGGCCTTTATCAAACTCTAAAGACTTTGCTGAAGCTTACAAGTGCCCTATCGGGTCTCCTATGAACCCTAGCGATAAATGTAGTGTGTGGTAATATTCCTAGGACTGGATTCAAATTGCACAAAAAATTTCAGTGCCTCAGCAGTATTAGATGAAGTGCAAATAATTTATTCAATTATAACGTGTGTCAAATTTAAAAGTTGTCAGCGGAAATATTAAGTCGAGTCTTGATTTTTTTTTCATTTCTATAATATTCCTACTGGATTTTTCTAATTTGACACACTATATATACATCCTATGATGTACGACGGCATGGTTGTCTGAAAAATACTCGTTTTATTTTTCGGTATTCAGTGCTAACAACTGAAATATTTTTTCAACTCATTTTCACGTATAGTTGGCAGTTGAATGTACTCTGTTTATCAATGTTCCTTCAATTACTATTTAGATATAGTATATTCGCTATTAAACTTTACTTCTTTGTAATCTCGTATTTTCACTATTTTGAAAAGTTTCAATGGAAAGCCAATGTCAAAAATTTCCTGGTATAACTTAAGAACGTTCTAGGTTTCTGAAATTCTGAGATGTAATCACAAAACTCTAAGAACCTTTTTAATAGAAACTTCAAGCAAACAGACTCTTCAAATACTATGAAGGCTGTCAAATGAATTGACCGACCGACAGCCATCTTAATTTCGGACAGGTTGGAGCCTGGCTCCCGTACACTTTCAACTAGAGTTTGTCGGAAGGACAAATGGGTTATAACTGATTACGGGATGACGGCATGAATGTCCTCAGACATCAGTACCACCCTTCACGGTGTACCCCTACCTGGCTGGCTTGAGATGAATGAAAAATTGTTCATCTGTTAACGGGGGACATTCGACAGAGTGTCGGGGTCTTCTATATCGGAAGGGGTCGTCTACAGCATAATCTATAGCTTCCCTAACTAACGGATTTTCGTGAGTTTCCGCGCTATCAAAAACTCGGCGATTCCCTCGACTGAATGGACTGCTGAATGGAAGGCAGCTGCAAATTTCTGCGGATAGCTTCATTCCACACGAACCACGGAGCATTCACAATCATCCGTATTAGCTTATTTTGTACTCTCTCCAGAATTGAGATGTTAGACGGAGCCGCTGGTCCCCAGACGCCTTAAGCATACATGATGACAGGCTTGAACATCGTGTTGTAGATCATAAGCTTATTTTCAAGGCTCAGTTTAGATCGTCTGTTGATCAGAGGGTACAGACTTTTGATCCGACCCTCGATCTGTGCGGGTTCCCGGTCTATCAGAAAGAAGAATGAGATACTTTACCCGCACTTGCCAGTCGATCTCCCTTCCAAACATTCTCACTTTTCTGGCCGAAGAAGATATCGTTCTTCCCGTGGTTATAGCCTGAGTTTTGTACGGTTTTACTCGGATCTTCCATTCGAGGTACCAGCGCTCGAGGTCGTCCAATGCACGTTGCATGTAGACGATCCCGAGCTCCCAACCCATGGAAGATGAGAGGAGAGCCGTGTCATCGGCGTATAGAAATGAATTGACTGTTGTAATCATTGGCATTTATAGAATTTTAGTTGGTTATGGGGCGGGGCAAAAAAACTTATATCTGAAAATTTCTGGAGTAAGGCTCTGGCCATAGGCCACCGATTAAAGTTTCAATGCCGGTTTTGTTCGCCGTTGTCTGCAAGTTTGTATGTCAGACGTTTCGTCTATTACTGCGAACGACATCATCAAAGGCGACGAGGCAATGGATGAAGCGTTCTAGTCTTCCTCAGTATCTGCTTTTAGGACGATCAGCAGTTTACCGCAGTCGTAGACGAAAATTCAAAGCATAATAACCTGAAGACCGCGGCCAACAAAACCTAAAAGTAAATTTGACACAGTTTCCTTATGGGAGACTGAGAATCCTACAATTTTAATTAAAACACTTCTTAAGTTTCCCCTTAGGAGAAAAATCACGTGATTTGGAAAATCTGATTTTGAATTAATATTTGTGTCGGAGGAGTATAACACTAATATAATAGTTATTTACTTCATTTTTATAAATATTTCTGTAGTCTAGATGGGTCTAGACTATCAGTCCATCAGGAGTGAATCCACTCCTCAAACGCCTTAATTATTTTCCAAAACATTATGGTTAATTAAATAAATGACAAGGCTGTATTGTGAATAACAAAACATGAATAGAGGTGAAAGGGGAATGTCACTAGTTTTTGGCAATAGCCATTGGACATGTCACTTGAAACTAATGGAAGTGCAATAAACAACACCGATGAAAGAAATAAATATTAACGAAAAAGTTCAATGAGTTTACTGATAGTTCAAGGGCAAAGGTCAAAGAAGACCTACCAATTTTTTAAGACGCTTATATTAGCTACACTTGTATGTTTGTTTGTAACCGACTCCTTTGGACTCGATTTTGACTAACTTTAAACGTACAGATGTATTTTTGACTTTGTACACTAATCAAGAATCGGTGACAATACAATAATATAATAGGATAATATATTATCCTGATCTGGATCGCCAGGATTAAATTATTTCCTCACACAGTCTCTGCGTGAGAGCAAGTGAGACAACCACACTGTCTGCGAATGCGTATATATTATATATTAAAACAATTGGGCTTGAAATAGCAAGCCAAACTGAAAAGTGGAAAATGAATAGAAGTTTAAAAAACTGAAAAAAACACGCTCTAATAGCAACACAAACTAAAAAATAATTCGAAACTAATTTAATTTTTTTACAACAAAAGTAAATTAGTTTTGAATTATTTTTTAGTTTGTGTTGCCAATAAAGCGTGTTTTTTGGTTTTTTAAACTATCATTTATTTTGAATACGCGATCCTTATCTAAATTTTTCATGTATTCAGAAAGCAAGTCCCAAAATATCTGAATACTTTCGAGAAAGCATTAAACGATTATTTATGAAAGGCATATTTTGTGCGAATGTTATAATTATGAATTTTTTATTATTTTAATGAATATAGACTAGTCATTCAAGAATAAAAAGTCCAGATAATGTAAGTATCCTTAAAGAACAATCCAGAGTAAATAAGTGCGATGACATCTGCCTTTACGAAGATGCCATCTATGGGATCGACACTGAACTCAATCCTCGAATATTAAACATAAACGACGATCCTTAAGGCGGTCAGTTGCAAAGCCAAGTATAGACAGCGAGATTCTTTCTCTGTACTTCACTACAGCTTTCACTGCAGGACGACAAGTTGAAAATTAGAGCCAAACACAACGCATTAATCAGTTCTCTGTCAATCCCATAGATGGAGTATTCGTGATCGAAGATCTTACCGCTAATATTTACTCAGGCTTGTTCTTCAAGTCCAGCAGTGCATTTGTGGTTAAGCTTACTGGTCGAAAACACCATTCAACAGCTAAACAGCAATCGTAAAGTTCTCGTTGTCCTCTTAGACATTTCGAAGGCCTTCGACCCTGTCTGACCTGGAGTGCCACAGGGGGCTTTGCTCTCTCCCACGTTATACTCGCTCTACACCAGCGACCTCCCGAGGTCGGGAGGTCGCTGGGTCTCCTCTCATCTTTCATGGGTCGGGGGCTCAGGGCAACGTGCATTGGACGACCTCGAGCGCTGGTACCTCAAATGAAAGATCCGAGTGAACCCGGAAAATACTGAGGCGATAACCATGGGAAGAACGATATCTTCTCCGGCTAGGAAAGTGAGGGACTCTGAAGGGAGATCAACTGACAAGCGCGGGTAAAGTATCTCGGCCTTCTAATAGACCGTAGGCTCACCTGGAACCCGCACATTGAATCCGTCAAAACAAGGATCGAGGGTCGGTTCAGAAGTCTGTACCTTCTGATCAATAGGAGATCCAAACTGAGTTTCAAGAACAAAATTATTATCTATTTTATGCATTTAGAAACTTGAGTTTCTATCAAACTGACCATACCACACAGTCCCCTACGGCTCTGAGGAATGATTGATTCTCTACAGTCCCCTACGACTCTAAAGATTGTTTCTCCACAGTCCCTTACGACTGTGAGGAATATATCTGATAGACCAGAGCTTCGAAAAGGATACATCGAAGTATGTCCTGTGGGTTCCAATAAAGTCATTGGTATGGTCAGTTTGATAGAAACTCAAGTTTCTAAATGCATAAAATGGATGTTCCATTTACCGTAATTGGGGAACTGCAAAATTATTATCTACTACACGATGTTCAAGCCTGTCATGATGTATGCTTCAGGCCTCTGGGGACAAGCGGCTCCGAGTAATATCTCCATTCTGGAAAGGCTACAAAATAAGTTAATACGGATGATTGTGAATGCTCCGTGATTCGTGCGGAACGAACCCATCCGCAGAGATTGGCAGCTGCCTTCCATTCAGCAGTCCATTCAGTCGAGGAATCGGCGAGTTTTCGATTGTGCGGAAACTCACAATAATCCGTTAGTTAGGGAAGCTATAGATTACGCTGTAGACGACCCCTCCATATATTGAAGGCCCCGACACTCTCCCGAATGAGGCCTCATGGCTCATGAACAACACCCCAGCCACTGTGAAGGGCGGTACTGATGTCTAAGGACTTTCATACCGCCGCCACCATTCAGTCATAACCCTTTTGTCCTTCTGACAAAAGCCAGCCGTAAGGGTAAGGGAGCCAGGCTCCAACCTGTTTGAAACCAAGATATCTGTTGGCTGGTTAAGCTTAGCACCACTGACGAGACCTAAGGCGGGTCAAAACAGCGCTTCCCGGTGTTGAGACATGAATGCGTTCTGTTTGGGCTCTAATTTTCGTTTATCTTCGATATTCGAGTATTGAGTTCTCTATCGATCCCATAGATGGCGTCTTCGTAAGAGGAGATGACATTGCCCTCATTTTCCCCACCAGAAGTGCCTGACAAAACATTCGCCAACCATCACTCTATTCTCTTCTGAGTCACATATTATTAAATGTGATCCTAGATCATATTTATCAAATGTGATCCTGGATTGTATTTCCTCAAAGTAGAAGTTCATGGATGTTAAAAATTCAATGAAGACATCTTAATTGGTAACATTTGACTTTGAGTAAACTGACTAGTGTTTACTGTGTATATTGAAAGACAAGTCCAAATTGAGCACTTTTCCCAAACACCAGAACTACAACACTCTTCTCGACGCCCATTTCCCCAACTAAGTTGACGTCTTCAGCAGACGAAGTAAACAAGCGAAATACTTCATAGACGTCAGTCTTGCACATGTTTCTCGTCCACTGATCAGCAGGACCATGCTGTAATCAATCGAGAACGTTTCGAGATATTACCTCAATGAAGGAAAAATACGATCCAAACAGAAATGTGGCTGGGACTCGACCGACTTCAACGCCGCTAGACTACATGTATGGAACATTCGTTTAACTAAGAAAAACAGATCTAGTAACAGCTTCATCCCGTAGACACAGGTCCAAAATCAAGGAAGAAACGAATGACATGATCTTTTTATGCAGTCATCACCTCATCACCTCTAGGAAATTCATTTTCTTCATTCTACCAAATGTGAAGTCACAAAATTTGTTTAAGAAGTATAGAGAGAGTTGCCATATGACCAAGTATATAATGTAGAAATGTTTGTATAAATTTATTCCTGAATATCTATATAGGGTTTGCCTGAAAACAGAAGAAATGAGTCCTTCACACAATTTGTTTAGTAGATATTCTACAAAGTTTTTAATTTATAACTGATTATACTTATAACTGATTAATGTCAAGTTCTTGAAGGTTTTCAATAACGGATGCATCAACTTGCTTATAGACAGGAAGAAATAAAAACCATCCAGACGAAATTGTTTTATTAAGAAGGCTTACTCCTTTTATATCATCTATTTACATATATTATACAAACATAAGCTATTCAACAGATGCAAATATAATACTGAGCCTATTTCAAACGGGAAACGTATATTTGGGATCAATGTTGAAGGGCACCTGAAAATGAATTTAATGAATACATCATAATTAATTTCTCCATTCTAAAACATACACATATGGTAGGTATTTAGGCATTAGATTTAGTAGTCTCACTTGCACGATTTAAAATATCTTATACAGAGCCGGCTTAACCTGTGGTGAAGGGTGTACCGCGCACTCAAGTGCATGGTCTTGGGGGCACTGAGCGACATATGTTCTTTGGAGGACTCAAAGACAGTGCGCCCGTATTATGGCCGACGCTGGGATCAAGAAATATGTTCGAGTAAACATGTAAATTTGTACCTTCAATAAAGGTTTCTGGTTCTGGGGAACTGACGGCACCACTTAGATTTGGACTATGAAGTAAAACGTCTTTTTCCTTATTTAAAATAATATAGACAGTGAGAATGGTTATTTACTACCACAATTATTGCGACCTTCACCGGGGTTGGAGCTCAACAAAAATAATTACCGAAATTTTAACTCTAAGCAAATCACAAACAGCGTGAACTAGTGATATCGATCGATGTTACTTACATACCTACCTCGAATTTTTCATCAATTTAACCAGTGAAATGCTGAACAACGGTAAGATAAAATACTCTAATATATACTTATTACTCAAGTATTCATTTAGTTCTTACGTTTTAATCGTCTTTTTAGGGGTTTATGTGTCACTTTGTTTGAATTCTGCAAGGGACAAATGCGTGTGTAATGAGTACGAGGCATGGATATTTGTATCTATATGAATATAAAAGTATGTTGATCCATTAACTATTCTTCATATTACAAACTATCCTCAGTTTGGGGCTATCTGAAGTATTACATTTGACTGCGCGCCTACTAGAGGGCGCCATATGGCACACGGGTGCTATGTGGGATAGAGCCGCCTCTGCTCTTGAATAAATTACATGACCACACATCTATAATAGAATGGCAGACCGCGGGACACTAACATAAATTGAATTCAAACTGTGTTCTGTTTGGATCTTGTTGTGCAATGTGCTTTGTGGATATTAACAGTTCAGTTAGCAGAGTAATATATGTATCGAGAAGAATACTCAGTTTAATCAAGTTCGAACCTACAACAACAAAGCTAACCAAAATATTGTTGAAGAACACTCCTCCCCTTTAATTGGCGAGTTCCAGTGAAATAATTCATCGTGGAAAACAGGACAAGCTTATGGATCATTCGGTTTTTCAATACAATCAGATGATGCAGAAAATAATCAGATTTAGTTCGTTTGTTTGATAATAGTGGAGACAAAAGTTGAACAGCATTTTTACCTTTTGAAGTGAAACATACAAGATTACTACTCTTTCAATATTCGAGATGGTTTTAAACGAGATCATTGAATGTGGATAATTTAATATAATTCGAATAAAGCTGAGTTCAGCGTTCTGAGCAGTCCGGGATGCAGAATTTCAGTGAATACACGCACAAATCTAAATAGTCAAACAGTTTCAACCACTGAATAAATACAAAAACAAAGGACTAGAAAGTTTGTGAGCTTTATCAGCAAACACCAATGTATTGCAAACATATTTTTAGTGGTGAATATATCAGAAATACCCAACCTAGATAGAGTCCATGTGTATGGATGTTCAGTTACCAATCCAAAATCCAATATTCATTTCAATTAACGGAAATTTCACTTGTGATGATATTGTTTTCATAATTCGTTATTTAATGTTCAACTGAAAACGATAATCAACATGTGTTGAAATTATGGTTTTTTACTGAAAAGTGATAATTTTGCCATATCTAGTAACACCGAATGAATGGAACAAATGCACATAGATACAAAATGAAGTTTACATAAGTATATAATTCTGTCTACATTCGCTCTGAACGGTATTTCACTCAACATAACCGACTGATTTTATTTGCTTAAATAATTTCAATATAAAAATTGAGACCAAAGAGAAGGGAAGTACATAACCACAGTAACAATTTTATTCCTTTTTAACAGTTCTAATTACCAAATTTGTTGGTGTTTGTATTGATAACAAGCCTCAGAGAAACTGCTCAATTGTAATTAAGGACAACTAAAAGTTTCCTCAAGTTTCTAACATTGCCTTCTTGAAATGACACATTGCACATTTATTTAAGACTGAACACCCGATGAAAAGCATAATACCTCACATCAGCTGTAAGAGCTGATATCCAATGTTATCCCTTGGAGTACAAAGTTCACATACTTTCTCAAAGTTGGCTTCACGGCATTTGTCTGCCTTAAAACGACATTTTAAAAATCTGAATATAAATTTTTTTCTAAATTGAAATGTGAATATTTTGAGGAAAGATTAGTCTTTAAAAATCTTTGGAAGACTCCTACGTTTTTTTTGTATAATGATGGAGAAGTAGAAAGCTAAAACCTTTCTTTCCCAAAAACAATTTCTCACTTTTGGAAATTCGTTTTTAAATTCACCTGTTTCTGCCTTGGTAGTGAGCAAATCAGTCTGTTAGTTCTCTCCACAATGAAGCTTCAATGGAGCTCAATCTGAGTTCAGTTACGTCTTCTGTTATTTTATTCAACGTCATTACATTTTATAACCGGTGCGAGACAGACAATGCCAATCAATTGAAGAAGCATGTCAATAAATCTATTTCAGAACTCATTGATTCATATATTCCAAAAATATAGTTGCATGGTGATTTAAAAGCAATTTGAAGCGTTCTCCAAAAATATTTAAAACTTACTTGCTGTGAGGTAGAATGCTCCTTACTCCTGTTATCCGAATACATGTTTGAAATTGTACCCTGCAAAATAAAAAAACACTGTCAGTGTAAATCAACAACTCCACAATAGTGGCATTATAACCTTATTTATTTCCGGGAAAATGGTGCTCAAATTGAAGTTTGTTAAAGAGGTTCCTGCCACATTCATAGAAGGTGGTTCGGAGTGCTGCATGTTGTTTCTATGAAGACCCGTCAAAGGTAGCACAGCGGCAGAGTTGAATTCATTTCCTTGCCTCTGGTAAAAGGAATTTTTAGAAGTGTAGGGTGTAGTAGGAGGTAAGAAATTTGAATGGGAATGAAAATCATCGGGTAAAATAGGAGAGTTAGTCGAGCCATGCATCGATAGCAGTGGATAATCGAAACCGCCGTTATTAGTCTCATCGGTCTGCTTCTTCCTCGATTTTTTCACGTTGTTCGTGTAAGTCACGTTCTTTTCATCCTTAGTTGACTGCCTATAGTTCTTATTGGGACAAATCTTGCTGTCTTTGACCACCGTGTTGGGTACATGGAGGAAGTTATCGTGCGCATATTCATGCCCGATTGAGTCAAAATTACTAGTAACGTGAGTGGATGAAATAGTGGGCGCGGCATAGACGAAGGTGTTGGTATTGTAAGTATTGTTTTGAAAGGAGTGCAGCATATTTTGGTTTTGAGACAAATAACCGTCATCAACAGCAGGAAAATAATTGATGATATTTTCCGTCAAAAAATTTGAAGATCCCACCGGCTTGATGGTACCGGAAGAATATTTTTTCGGTACTTCAGGCACCTGGTTTCCGATTAAGGCCTCGGCCGAATAGCTGCTCGGCATACTTTTAGGCAAGTTTCTAACTTTCTGCTCATAAAATATTTCATTTGTTCCTAACATATTGTAGTTGTTTGGTGTAGGTTTCAGGTGAATAGCTTTATCCTGGTCATTCTTGGGAGACTTTTTATGCTTGGCAGGTATTATGTTCTTAGCTCGGTTCCCGCTATTCCTTCTAGTCGCTATTCTAGACGGAACGTTCTCTACTTTATTGTGATCCACTAGTTGGCTAACAGACAAGAAGTTACCCGGGTTTTCGTAAGCTGCGATTTTGCGTTTAGGTTCTTTGGGATATTTACATTCAGGTTTCTGATCCCCAAACGTGAGGGGATTGCCCAAAGCCAAATCCCCAACCAGGGTCGGTAATGTCGGAGTGACGAAACTAGCAGCGGTGTCCAAGAAGTTCGGCAATTTCGTTGGGGACCAAGAAAATTGCTTATCTTCTGGGGCCAACGGAACTATATCGGTTTTCTTTGGTTCAATACTGCTGGCGTCTCCTGTTTCACCGGTATTGCACGAAGCAAAGGAATAAGACTGATTCGAGAATGTCGGTAAAAAAGGTTCGGGAGGCTGTTGGACTCGATTATCAGGAGTTGTCATCCAGTTGACAGGCTTGTTCTGAACAAGACATTTTTCCTTATCGTTATTCGTTCTCTTATCCTTTATATAGTTCGTGGTATTTCCGTAATATTTTGAGGTATAGTCTATTTTCCTATGTTCCTGATAATTTTCATAGTTCAGCGGGTGATGAGACTTGGTTTCACTTCGAGAAATAACAGGTTTGTAATAACTTTGGTTGAAATTTGTTTCGGGGTAATTGTAGTTATGATTGGTGCAATTTGTATAAAGTGGATTGGGATAATTTTTATTCAAGTTCATATACGAACACGTGGGACACATTTTTGCAGGATTGCTTCTATAATTGAAACTGCAGGAAGCATCCGCATAGCTTGCAGAAAAATAACTCTGTGGTTTCTGAGCAGAAGTTTTCAGGGATGTATCTTCTGGTTTTTTCTGATGTTGAAGATGATCAACTACTGTTTTTGGATGAATGTTCAAATCAACACTCCTTATGTTACTAATTTTATCGGAGAAATTATTTAAAGTCGAAGTTATGTCTTTGGGTGGCAATTCAAAAAGACTGAAATGAGTATTTTCAGAAAGTCTAGCATTAGAAATGTTTTCGTTACAATTTTTAATTGAATTGGACGAAATCATTTCAATCTTGTTCGATGATTTGGACTGATAACTACTGTAGTGTGAACCGCCTCCTTTATCTATTAGTGTTGAAGAAATATTCATGGGATTCATATTAACTGTGTTGAAATCAAGGTTCTTGTTCTCTTTAAGATTGTTGTGGATATTTTCAAAATCACGTAGTACGATATCAGGTACAATTTTTCTAGATAAATCTGGTTTGGAGTCACAGATAAAGGAAATGTCATTCAACATATTCTTTGTGATATTTTTACAATCACCTTCAGAGGTTTTCAACACATTAGCAGAAATATTTTGATTTGGAACTGTGTTATTATAGCAGATATTTTGTGATTTAGGTACATGTACATCTTTGAGAGTGCTACTAAAATGTTCAGTTGGTGCTTTGGGTAATTTTTTGTTCTCTATCTGATTCACAACACATCGTGTGTTTTTTATGCCACTCAGTGAATTATCATGGTAACCCTCTTTCACCTTGTCGTCAAATTTGCTTCCACTAAAAACTTTGGCATTACCGTTATTGTTACTAACATTAATATGTTCTCGCTTTACTGTTTCCTCGTGACTTGTTGAATAGATATCATATTGGCACGTCTCATTTTTTCTAACTATTAGTCCTTCAGAACAAGGATTATCAATGGATGGTAACTTTCTTTCGGGTTTCTCTTGACACAACGTATCACTCTCTTTGAAATGTTGCTTTTCACAAGACTGTTTTTCGTGTTTGCCATTTTTTTCAGAAATATCATGACAAGCGTTTTCATCTTCTTTACTACTGTTTGGAATTTCTGAACATGTTTTGACAGGATTTTCAACAAGTATCTCATTAAATGAGTTGTTCATACTTTCTGCTTTTCTAAACTCATCTCTTTCTTTTTCATTAATACTATTTGATTGTTTTGAACAACTTTCGTGTAATTTTGAATTATCTGTGACTTCTGGGACATTTGAAGGAAGAGTGTGGACTATCTCATCCACAGTGAACTGATCAGAAATTTGTAGAGAAGAAATATCATTAGGTTTATTCGAGGTATCAGTTTTTTCTGCAGCAGTTTCATCCCCTTTTTTTGTTTCAGATGGGTACGAATTGCAGAAGTTTCCATAAACATCTTTACCATTGAAAAATGAAAAACTGTCCAAGGCAAGTAATCCGCTAGCTAACGTTTCGGTATGTTTAGTTTTTGTAGAGTCCATCGTTCCAATCTGCAGTAAAGTAGGAGTTTCTCGTTGACTTTCAGAGTTATCATCATCTATAACATCGGTAACTTTAACAGACGAAACCAATGGAAATGCAAGTAAGAAGGCTGCGGTGGGAGAAGTGGATTCGGGATTCTGACATCCTGTTGGTACTTGTAACGATGCAAATATGTCATTAGATAACTCGGAATGCTCCAGATTCAATTCCAGATTTTTTATAGTATCTTCATGCACGTCAACAGTTACAGAATTATTTACGTTTGATATGGTGCAAGCGTTGGAGATTTGAGAGCTTCCACAAGCTGAGATGCTCTTATTGCTAACATCGTTATTATCTGGACATATTTCTCTCGTCTTATTTTCAGTACCGTCAGTAGTATCCTTCTCATCATCCTTCTTATCATTCCCATCATCTCTCTGGATCACAGATTCTACTTCCGTTATCGACAATGACAATTCCGGTGAAACCAATTTTTTACTATTGTTCTGGATATTATTTACACAATTGGATGCTTCAGATAATGGAATTGGTGCAACATTGAATAAAATTTTAGATTCAACGTTGATAGTATCACTTGTTACATTTGAACTGGTAATTGTAGATTCTACATTGATAGTATCACTTGTTACATTAGAACTGGTAATTGTAGCTGCAACAGTAGTAGCAGTAGTATCTGGAATGTTATTTACACTGACTGGGACTTCAGACACAAAAGTTGTTAAAACTTCTGATGGATTTTTTTCATTAGGCTTCTCAACATCTTTTTCAATTTCAGGGTCAGTTACGTTTTCATTTGTATTATTTTTCAACTTTTTAGCGGTACTACCAAAACCAGCATCACCTTTTCTTTTCATCGCTTTTCTTTTTGCACCAGACACTTTCACTTGGGTTTTCGGTGAATTTTTATTCGCGATCCCATCACACATTTTTTTCTCGCTAGTTTCACCTAGCAAGTAATAGTTGTTAGCATAACGAGACGTCAATGCAGGGATGGGGACTTTATTTACCTGAGTTGTTCTCGTAATACAAGGTTTTGGTCGAATACTCAAAGATTTTTTCATCTCCGAATTTTCAATTTTCTCGTTGGATTTTCTATTGTTTGATCCGTCTGGTTTTGGTATGCGTATGGGTTTGGAAATGAAAGACGGTTCCGAAACGATAACCTGAGATTTGGATAAAACCTGTATTACCGTACCATTAGCTAGGATAAGTATTCCGGGACCCAAGGATGGTTTTATTGGATTGATTAAAGGAAATGTTGCGCTCGATATTTGTGACGTTTGTGAACCTGAATAGTAAATATATATGGAAATTAACAAATATTTAAATTAAATTGCGAAAATAATCCACACATTTCTAGTTCAGAAACCAATTTTGTGAAATATTGTTTTGTTTATAAAATAAACTGTTTTAAAAAGTGTTGGATAGATAGATAAGATAGATAATTTAATCAACTACAATAAATAAACATCCCTATTTGTAATACTAGGTTGTGAACATCTGCACATATTCATGGGTAAACAAACACTTACACATTTAAAAAACAAAATAGTAAAACAATAATATTTCTAATGGTCGGCGGAAACTGTGTCAAAGCTATTTTCCGGGTTTATTGACAATGGTCTGCAGGTTTTGCCTACAACTGCGTTATAACATTATTAAAGGCGATGAGACAATGAAAGAAGTGCTCTAGTTGACCTCACAACACAGTGTGTGTAGAGTATCTAATGTGACAACTAAAGCACTTCGTCCATTAGCTCATCGCAGTTCTAGACGAAATATCAGGCATAACATAACATAACATAAAGTATTTAAATTTCTGTTCGATGCAAGAGAGTCAAATGGAGTAAGATTTTGAAATACAAGAAGATGAAACATTATCGTAGACAAGAACAAAGTAAGTAAAAGAAAAACAGCGCAGACAAAAGAAAGAAAGCATTCAGAAAGAACACAGGAAAACAAAGAAACTAAGGCGACAAGGAAGATAAAAAGGCCAGAAAACCATAAATTGCTGATGTAAAAACAACAACTTTTGATAAATCAACCTCCTACAATTATATATCTCTCTTCAACAAACTAGTGAATTTTCTGAAATATATCAGATACTATAACAAATTCAAGAAGAAACAAAAGAATTTATCTAAGGGTTGCTTCCATTCTGCTGAGGAATTTCTCAATTACTGACTATTTACTATTTTATTTTACCAACATTTTTGTACCATTTCCTCATATACAGTGTGTCTCACTTCTCATAGAAGTGAGAAAAACTGTGTCTCACTTCTATGAGCGAGTCTAAATTCTCATAGAAGTGAGACACACTGTATATACACACATTGGTTTTTTTTTATTCCATATCAGTATTGTCCTGTATATATGTAATTCATGTATTATCTTTTAGAATATTTTACGAGTTGCCACTTGTATGATGTAATTTATCCATGGTCAAGTAAATACTGGTAATAATATTACAATATTCAACATTTGGAAACAAATTCAACAAAAGAGAATGATTCTATGCGGTTATTGACTAACTGTTCCGAGATATTAAATTTATCGATTTCTGAGCATTAAAAAAGATTTTGTTTTCAAACTATATTTTTCCAAATGTATTGTGAATTCCTTCTGTGTATCGGACTTGATAGATAATAATGAATGATTGATGATAATAACAGTAAGTAATGACCTGTAAGAACATATATCAAAATGAAAGGATTGATTTGAATTTAATCCATTGCACTTGATAATAAATGTATATAATTAATGGAATCTATTTTCAAAAATTACCTGAAGTAATAGCTTTTGATTTTGCTGATGAAATAGTTGTAGGATTAGTTATGAAATAGCATTGTTGGTTGAGTCCACCTACTGTTACAGATTGTGGCAAGACAAATACACGAGCTGTGGAAGACGCAGTTCCTTTTGTTGATTTTCGTTTTCTTGAATTCATTTTTTCTGACTTTTTGACAATACTCGTGCTTTGTTTAGGAACTCTGTTAGCCTTCACCAATTTTTTCTTTTTCTTTTTGACCTGCACCAGTTTAGTAGATATATTTTCTTCTGAAAATGAGGTACATTGAACAAATCACCAATAAAGTCGACATTAACCTCTACATACTTTCCATCTCATTTTTCTGAAAAAGTTTAGCTTGTGCGGGAGATATTTTTTTGGACCACGGAAGTTTTCCTGTGAACGTTTTAACATTGCCAACCTCTTTCGGGATTGAAATTTTAGCATCCTTCAGCAAGTTACTCAGTTGCTCATTTCTGACAATTAATTTCTTGATTCTTTCTTGAAGTTTATTCACTAAACTACCTAGAACACATGAAGATATACCAATGTAACCAATTAGATGTTCTTAGAGACATTGTTTGATTTCGTCCCTAGTATTCCTAGAATGATCTGTTTCATATAGGTGCTATAATTCACTGGCACATATGTGTAAATATAGATTATATGAGTCACCTTTGAAGTTTTTACAGAAGATTTGAAAAAAATTCTTAGAATAACCTTTAAAATTGATACACAAATACTTGGTTTTTGCTTCAATAGCTTGCTAATGGCATCAATATTTTTGGAATCTCAAACAATGATTAAATGCAAAATATATGCATTTTTCGACACATATGAAGCACCATCTGATAGATGGCGTTGGTTGGTTGGTTAAAAAAACAATTGTTTTCTTGCTGACGTTTCAAATTTAATTAAATTATTCTTCAGGACTCGAAAAGTAGTATTTTTGTGTTGATATTATTCTTTCCACAAAACTCATACAATTATTATCGTTTCAATTTCACAAGAAATATTGAGTTCATGTTGATAATATTACTAGATATTTTAAAAACCATCAGACATATTAGATACATATTAAAAAAATGAAATAAAAAACACTACAAAAAACCAAAAATTCCGAGACAACACCAACACAAAACGACATAAAACAAACGAATGGCTTTATCTGTGATTCTGAAAATGTGGTGTCTTGTTTTTTAATCAATGGCAGAAAGAAAAAGAATGAAAAAAAGGTGAATGGGTACTTATCAAATTGAAATATGCAATATCAAGGCCATCGACATCTTTTCTAGTTTTATATCGCATTTGAGAATATGTATCAATTCGTTCTTTGGATAAATAAGGTTGAACATCTAGAATAGCTTGATGATCAAAATCAAAAATGTGGACACTTTCACTTGGGTTTTCGGTGAATTTTTATNAATGTGTCCATATTCTTTTTCATGTTCAACGAGAGCTGTGGGGTTTTTATATTCAGTTTCTTAGGGTCTCTCATGTGTTTTGAAACTCGTGTTTTAAGATACCGTCCGGTTTGACCAACATAGCATTTGTGACAGCTTCCACCGTTCAATTTGTACACTATATTGGATTGTAGTTCTTGTGGTGTTTTTGTTTTTTGTTTCGAGAAAAAATGCTTTCCCACTGTATTTTCATTTGAAAAGGCCACTTAAATTTGTTCGGTACTGAGTGGCAATAGTAATATTATCAACAATAAAAAAATACTTTTCGGTGAGTAATTTAATTAAGAACTGATTATTTCATGTGAAATTGAAACGATAATAATCGTATAAGTTTTGTGGAAAGTATGTTTATGAAAATTCATTGTTATAGAGTCCTGAAGAAGAATTTAATTAAATTCGAAACGTCGGCAAGAAAACTATTGTTTTTTCAAGAAAAAATAATCCTGTTGCCCAACCAACCTTTTTTCAAAAAAATTATTGGATCACTAAAGTAGTTAACTGTTAAATTATGTGCTGAATGATGAAATACGTCATCTTAAATGTATAAAATTATGATGATTCAGAACATTTTGGAATAAATTCATATTGCTTATTTTACCACAACTGAAATGATAAAAATAAGGCTCCAGGGTGTTCTTAATATGTGTAACTGAATTTGTTTAACTGTTGTTAAATATATAAGGACTTGGAAAATAACAAATCGACATAAATTTCACCACTAATAAGACATCAAAAAACAATTACCTGTATCCGATTTGTTCTCTGCATTTGGAGTTATTATTTTGTTCACTTCATCTTGTAAGTCTTTAACAGCGCAGGTAGCTTTTGTGAGTATTTCAATTTTGGTTAAGTTTACTGAAGGGTCGTAACATGGTAATACCTTAGCTAATGATGCAAATGCCTCGTTGAGGCGATTTCTACGTATCTTTTCCCATCCTCTAGATTTACTGAAAAAAACTCATGGTAAAAATATTTTGAGTTGAATAAAGACTAAAAGTATCTGTTACTGAGGTTTCCCCTGCCTATAAATAGACCTAGAGAGTTACGTTAATGTAGGATAATTTGACTTCCAAAAAATTAAAGGTACTAACCATCGATTGAAATAGTGACTTTATCATTTTCACTTTTATAGACTGAAACAAATAAAAATTATAATATAGAGAATGACAACTTTTACAGACATCAATCAAACTAACTAAGAAATATTTCAAAGTCATTTAGGACTTCATAGAAATTTTCTAGATATTTATTCTGCAGGTTTTGACAAGAGACTGATTTTGTTTCAGAAACGCTGAGTTAAGAGTGGTGAAAAAAAAAATTCGTGTTTGCAAAAGTTCAACCATTTTAGCATTGCCTCTGTGCATTTGCAGTGTTTATCTTGTCTACGTATATACTAACCCTCACACTCTGTGGCAAAAGGATAATTCCAATGCCAATCCTCCCACACACACACACAAGTATATACTATAGCGAAAATTTGTGTTATTTTGTGTTTCTAGAAGTTCCTCAAAAAGTTCTTACTTTCTCAAAAGTTGTGAGATTACTGGCAATATATTAATTTCAATACAATCAGAAGCAATAGCAGAAGTTACCATTCTTTTCGCAAAGGTAAGATTTCCGTAGAAACTAATTCACAATTTATAATTTCAAAAAGTGTTGTGGTTATTGACTAGCCTCCGAAACAAAACAAACAAATGGAAGAAATTGCCAATATCATTGTCAAGGAAGGCAGAAATGGTCATAAGTTGAATAATGAAAGGTTAAAAAACTGTACTTTCTAATAGTAATGCATAATTCAAGACACAGAAGATATGAAATAAGCAAACTTTCAATACATTATAATTGTCTCCATACCATCCATATCTCAATCCCTTTGAATTGGTTTGATTTGAAATTCTGAACTGAAAAAATACGCTGCCAGAAAAAAGTGAGTTATAATTTCAACTTGGTCTTTAAAGAATATATTTTAAGGAACCAACAATGTATATAATTGAGACATTTTCACGAGACTCCTTTACTCAAGACTCTTTTCACTACACAGTAGCTTCTTTAGTTGAACTGGTACAACTTTTCTACAATGTATTCTATAAAACACAAGTTACAAAACTTTATTAGTAAACAATGAATAATTAATAAAAAAACAGTTGGATTTTAATTTAATTTTCATCAAGTAACGGGTCGGTGTATTCATGATATATATAGTTGTACAACAGATTATTTCCAACTTGGATGAAAATGTCAATCAAATGAAACTGATCTGGGCAAGAGGAATTTATAATAATAATGAAGGATCTTCATCCATAATAATAATTATACAATGTTTACACAATAAATCCTATTCAAGACGAATTTCACTACACAGTAGCTTTATCAGTTGGACTGATGAAGTTACCGTGTAGTGAAACGTGTCTTGAGTGAAATTTTCAGTGTGTGAATTGTATAATTATCATCATCAATTGTATAATTACTTGCCGGAGCATAACATGGCTATTTTCAGCTCTTCTATTTGTCTGGAAAAAATCTGAAGTTACCAAAATAATGAAACCTACGTTAGTTTGTAAATTTTATGCAGCAAAACAGGTCGAGTTGATTACAAAATGAATGAATAACTGTTAGAGGGATTAGACACCCTGCTCTTTCTGCTCTTTTCCCTGTTGCAGAGTGATACTTTCAATTATTCTTCTACATATCTCAGAGATCAAGCTAGACTGATAGAACTGCAGCAGTTTGACCTGAAAGCTTGACATTTCTATACCTGTGTTAAGTACTCTTTTATAATTTTTATTCGTTTCACCTCTAGAAAAGTGAAAATAGCTTCAAAGTTACATAACATTCTTTGATTGCTCCATAAGAAATATGTTCACCAACAATACCAAATTTATCCTGATATATTGTCACATGACCAAATGAAAACATAAATCAAAAGTATCAAACATACCAAAACAGTCACATCCGACACATCAAAGAATTCAAAATACCACAAATGTAAGTAGTATGAATGATTTGTCAGGCAAATTTTTAAATATTTGGATTAATTATTGTTATGCAACGATTTCCGTTCAGTTGATTAATAGAAATTGGAACCTCTGGCGTAAAATAAATCTAACACTTCTCCTTAACCAGAACAAAAAACTGTCTCCTGATGTGCAATGTCACGTCATTAAGATGATAACCTGGTTAGCAATAGATTTCAGTTTTCATTATGGAGACTGATCAATAAACAAAAAATGTGAGGGTTTTCGAAAAAACGAATCTCTCTTAAAAATATTCTTTTTCCAACCACAATTGTTGAAGACACTGTATATAAGTTTGATATTTTATTTTGACAGATTAGTCACTTGTTTCAAAACAATTCAATATTGAGAATTTACTGTAAGTCAAGTTGAATAAAAGTTGCATTTAAAACGGTATTAACCAGGTTTATTAAACCCAAAAGTTTCAACAATGATCTTGTTAATAATAATACTAAAGTTAAAATTATGATACCCTACAGAAATAATCTGATTGATACAAATTCATAATATTATTTTAGATAAATTAATATTCACAGAGAAGTTATTGTAAATTATTGAAATTATTAAAATACCTGGAATTCATTGTTGCTAGTACTCCGAACTTCAAAACATATTTTCAATATATGTACAATAACATCTCAAAAAAGTTTTTCACTAGAATCAGCAGAAACATCACTTTCCGAATTTTACTGTTACTATTTTTACAAAAATATTATTGATGAAACTACAATACAACCCCACTTTGACTACTGCTCTAATGTACTTTCCCGCTATGCGGAAATTGTGTTTCAGCTCTATAGTAATTATTTTATAAAACAGAGAATGTGTGTAATTCTGACGTGAAATATACTCCTTATAAGATATTGGATTGACTCACTGTCAAGGACAAAATGTATTATTTTTTTAATGACTTCATTTTTGAAGTATTTTCTGATGAAGCCCCTACCTGCTGTACCAAATGTATTATGCATCACAACCAAATACACAAATATCCGACCAGAAGTAATCACAAACGGTATGTTACTTACACAAAGTATTATTAGAATATTCAATAATCCTCCTCATACAATTAAACGTAGCTTCTCTTAATGAATGTAAACACTTAGACTGTCAATTTAAAATATGAATTGTAAATGAGAAACAATGAATACAATTTTGGACAAGTTCATATATGAACATATCATACAGATGGAAATGTACTTTTCCTGCTACTGTTTTTATACCAAGATTCTTTCTAATTTTTTTAATGTAAAAATATCATGTGGTTATATCATTATTGAAATTCTTAAATTTTGAAAGACTGTAAAAACCTCACCTAGCCTCTCTTGGCATAACAATATATTATTGCCCATCTATCACGATTTATTTATCAAATAATATTTAGAATCCGCCAATGCTGAAGTGATTATTCGAAATTTTGTACGAATTTTGTATTTGTTTACATTATTTTGACAGATTTTGATTTTGGATTTTTTTTTGAGGTTAGAGGTTAGCTTCGACTACTTCCTATTTTCAATTCATGGCCTCAAATCTCAGAAGTATTGGAGTCATAACACCGTATTCTCAATACCTTCTCTACGCTTCATATTAATGATTCACGGTTGCCTCTATTACAGTTTTTCAGCTAACAAAACTTTGCGGTCGACATCTTGTTGATAAAGTTTTGTTCGTAATGAAATACGCCAACTTTCAAAGAATACACAACAGATGCTCACCCGGGAAAACAACATATTTCACCATTCGTTTAAATCTACACTGTAATATATATTTTTTTTACGGATGGTGGAATAGTTGAGATCGTTCTTCCGGGTGTGCATTTGTTGTGTATTCATTGAAGGTCGGCCAAGTCGGCCTAACTCGTTACGAACAAAATTACCATTAACCATGAGAGATGCATATGACCTGCTCAAGTTCAGGCGAAAACACCTCACCCTTGCCTCTCTTGTGAACCTACTGCAGATAGAGCTTATGAATTATCTTGTCTGTTCGGAATATTCAGACAATTTAATCCGTCTAAACAGTACTGATAAGGAGCTAGTACTCCGAAACTGATCTGTCGGTGGTCGTCTCGACCAAATTAAATTAATTTCAGCTTTTCATATATAGGAACTTACTTGCCTGATGGTTTCACCCAATCGGTATTAAACAAATTCCGGAAAAATACATATAAAATGTACTCAAGTTCCAGTGAAAACACCGTGAAAACACATGTGAACCTACGATTTTGTAGGTACGTGTAGCGTCCATTTATTGATGCCGTGAATAGTGGAAAGGCTTAATCGGAAACCAAACTGTGCCTGAGTAAAACATTCGTCGTTATTTATATAATTGATTGATTAATCTTTCAGTAGAATTTCAAAAATGTTTCCCAGGAAAGGTACAATTGAAATTGGGCGAAAATGTGATGATGCGTCTAAGGATGGATGGGGTTGACCGTATTTTTTTTCAAAATTCCAGAAAACACTCTCTCGCGTATGCATTGATTTATAAGTTTTGTCAAGAGAAGAAGTATTGAGTACTTTTCATTGCTCTAATAATTTTAGAGTTCCTCTTTAGCGATAGGAAGTTTTGAAATGGTCGATTTTATGGTGACAACAGCTCAGTGAATACTTTCCCAGGTACAGTACAAAAAAAATTATTGAATTCCTTTGAAGTTTGCTTTTGTATTTGTTGTTATTGAATTCATCTGGAAATTGGTATTGTATTTGTTGTCTGTTTATTGTGATTATCAGCTATGAATCTTTCGTGAGATATTTTCTCAGCTTTCAGTATTTTGTTTCTTCATGCATTTATTTTGTCCTTGATTATATTTTCAATTTCTGCAGAGGCATTCTGTTGAAAAAATATTTCATTAGGTTTATGTTGTATCTTCCTCCTTTCAGTTCTGAGATTAACTAATTTACTTTTTTAGGTTTATTGTTGATGATTTCAGATTATATGGTGAATGCTTCATCCATGTGGTATGTTATGATATTTATGAAGTTTGTGTGTTTTATACTTATATCTGTACGTTCATCATCAACGAAACTTCAATCTCTCTTTCTCTATGTTTTTGGCTTTTGCTTCTATTCATAAACTTCAATTCATTAGTTGAAGGGAGCTATGAAGATTAAATAGTCCAATGTCGTGTATAGGTGTATAATTGGGTTCAAGTTTGTTTTCTGTCGTTTTCGAAATAGTAAGTATAACTGCATGATGGGCAAATTAATTGTTGGAGTCCACAAGACAGCTAATTTTCACCATGGTTGATTTAATGGAAACATTGTAAAAGTGGTGTTTCCTGATTTTGTTATCATTCGTGTAACAGAAGCTAAATGATGAGGAGAAAAGTTTAATGAGTTTCGTGAAGTTTTTGTCACTTCATCACTGAATACTGAATTTACTTCTCTGAAGAGTGTCGACTGTCTCCGCAAATTTGTCGAAGACTGTTTCAAAATCACCACTGCGGGACCTATATAAGGTAAAAATTACGTTGCTATTAAGTTTCAATGCTGTGCTCATCTAGAAAAAGGACATTAATTTCACAGTAGGGATCGGGATTGCATTTTTTCAATACAAATATTGCTACTCCACCGTGAATAATCATCTTTGTTCTATGATGAAAAGAGCTGATAGTATCGTTTATTAGAGTGGCAGGTTCATCTGACCTGAGCTAATGTTCATTTAGGCAAATAGAATCGATAGCTTTGTAACTCAGATATACCTCCAGTGTACCAGTTTTCATTTCTCAGGCATTGAATTTTCAAATTTGGTGAACTCGTTTGTTTTTTGGAGAGCTTTTTACGATATTAGATTTCACCAATATTTAGATATTCAGATATTATTCATAATCAATGACTTTTTATTTGTTATGTTATGCTTGTTTTATCTTTCATTATTATTATTATTACTTTTAAATAACCGAGAAGAATAAATCATCATTATTACTTTAAAAAAGGTTGCGTTTTTCAAGTCCTCTCCTCGAAGCTCCGATACCATAGAGAGCGCTTCGGTATCAACAATTAATGACCACTCCCCACGTCGTGAGATGGGTGAGAAAATCACGTGCCCTAAGTAGACACAATGAATCAAGAATGATAGTTTTCAGCATTTTTCCGGCCAACAATTCTGCCTCGTTGCACGAAACTCCCATGGTTTTGAGAATCGATGGTAAAGGGGGCATCATTCCACTAGGGACTCCAATAATCATATTAGTATCATCATTACATAGTGGTGGACGGAATGAGTAGAGCCAACCGCCCAAGCAAACCAACTGACCAAATGTACAGATGTGTGGAAGTTATTTTCACTTCTTTTTATATTATCTTTCAAAGAAAGGATTATTGTCCCTGAAATTAATTTCACAAGAGTTTTGGAATTTTTTTTTACAATAACTACCGTAATATTTCATAGTAATTTCAGTACAAAATGTTATTTTTTTTTCTTTCCTGGAGTTTTGCAGCGCAATTTTGTGGCAGTGACACAAAATGACTGGCAATAAAATCCTCGAATAAAAAACTGAGAATGAACAGAAATAGGAAGAATTAACCAAACCTGTAACCAAACATTTTTAGGTTAACGAGTAACAATGTGTGTGTGAATGGTCTTGATTTTTGTAGGTGAATTCTAAATAGTTTTCTAAATAATTAAATTGAAACTTTTTCTTGAAATGTACGTAATTTCTCTAATACACCATGGTTGATATAAAAAGTTCCTTATCCGATTATTTGCTTGTCACTAAGAAATTATCTGGTTCAGAAAATGAAGAAAAAAACAAGGACGTTTGGGACCTTTATTGTTGTGTAGCATGCGAAGATAATTGGAAGATCTTTTTTGATCAGTCATTTGATAAAAGTCAACTGAAAATTCACTTCAGTTCACTAACAGAAGATGAACGCATAAAAATTTTCAAGTTTGGTATATCTTGTATTATATGTTTCGTGCAGATCAATTTCACAGGACCAGATTTCAGTAACACCGTAGAAGATTTTCTTAAAAAAGACATTTTCGAACCTTTTTCCTTTCATAAACTTTTGTCTGTTAATAACGAAGATATAAATGTGAATACTAAGTCACCATCACTATTAGTGGTTTCCAAGCTAATTTTCGAATGTTGCCCTGTTGATAATAACATCAATAATTGGTGGTACTGGAGATCAATTTTAATTCACCAGCAAATTCTAGACGAATTGAGTCCAACTCTCCGTTCAGATGCCGATCGCCTCTACAAGCATTTCCAAGTTGATCCCAAAATAAATGGTAATAGATAGTTGAGAAATTAATATTAGGGTAACTTACAGAATATTATTTTCAGGAGTGATAAAAGCCTCGCTTGATATTGAAGTTGCTCAGTTATACTTACTATTTAGACATGTCTCAAAGGCTAAGGATCATATTTTAGCAGCCAGTGCCTTACTTGGAGTTCGATATGATCTAGTAGGGGTCCTTGGGAAACGTACAAAATATCAAGAAAAAGAACTAGCTCAATTATCTCTAAAAGTAACTCTAGAAAAAAATGAACAAGAAGATGGATCTGAAGGAGATGACCACAATGTACCAAAAAATATTTCTTTGAATGATGATACTCGTCTGGACTCCATAGAACTTTCAGAGCCTGATGCCGAAAATGCTAGAATAGCAAACTCTGAGCAGAAATTATTCATCAATATTGTCCAAGAAATGTTGATTGCCAAACCCCAGGATGAGTTACAAACAGAAGAATTGCAGCCTTTTGTAAATATGGTCCTAAAGCAAAAAAATAGTTATGCAGTCAGAATAGCTGCTTTGTTGTTGAGGTGCAAGCTAGAAATGAAAAATAAAAGGACAGTCGAAAGGTCCTTGAGTCAATGTGAAGAAATAATCAACAGTTTCAAAAAGGAAGAGCCTCCTGTATTGAAGAGGATAGCAGATGTGTTTGCTACTGGCATGCCACCTATTTGGAAAGTTGAGAAACAACATGCAGATTTATTGTTGAATTTAGGATTGGTCAAAAATGCGCTTGATATATTCCTGAAAATTAAAAGGTGGGAGGAGGTCATAGTGTGCTACACAATTCTAGAATTGAAACACAAAGCTGCTGAAATTATCCAGGAACAACTAAAGGAAAACCCCTCTGTTAAACTCTGGTGTCTTTTGGGTAAGTTATTTTATAAATAAAAAATTCTACTTTGAAAAGATTACAGATTAGCAGTTGATATTTGAAAAACAACAAATGGACATATTAGCCTTTCTGATGGTCTTGAAAAAAATACGTAAAACCCTTATTTATTCCATTGTAGTTGCCAGGTCCACTGTTACAAATATGGCATATCAAATGAAAGTGAATAAAAAAAATCTTTACTTTTACCAGAACTCTGATAAATCGAAAAAATTACTAAAATGATGAATTTATCCCAAATTGATTACCAATATAAAGAATTAAATGTAATGTAATTTATTTAGGTAAATAGTTAGGTAAGACTAACGTGAGTGGGGAGTAGGGATTTTCAGTGGCATGTGAATTGGATGAATTGTTGTTTAAGCGTGAATTTTTGCCGACATGTAGGATGTTTTAAATGAATTTTGGCTCAATAGATTTGAATCCAAATTATTCTCTCACTTTCAATAGTTGTACCTCACAACTATTGGTGCTATAGAATATTGGTAATATCAGCAATAAGTTATCTTGGATATTGATGAAGGTTGATGTCAATTCGGCTGTGGCAAAGTTAAGAAATATTAGCTGGAGATTTGATGGGTCAATGATCTTTCCACCTTAGGGAAGTCGTAGTAAAGAAATTCCTTCAAGAATTATTATTTTTTCTCTAAACGATCTATAAAATTGTTTTCTACTTGATGTTTTTTAAATATTACCAGTATCACATTTACCTTTATCGCTGTTGGGGTCTTTGTACTTAATGTTCCCCTGACAATTGTCATTTTTATCTTAAGAACAAATCTATTAACATTTGAATACTCCAGATGACATATTTGAGTAATACTTTATTGTATTTTTCACTAAGTGTTCAACAATACTTCAATACGTGTTTCACTATACAAAAAACATCTTCAGGCATGTTCATACTAGAGTGTTAGTATTGAATAGTGTTGTGAAGAAGCTATTATATAGTGAAACATGTGGTTTTGTGAATTGTTCAAGTGGAAAAACTCACAATAAAGTGTTACCTAAATTCAATCTTGGATTTTCATTCTTGGTATTGTTCAATCCTTTTTCATTTCTTGAAGATGTACATTGATCGACTCTTGTTGAAAGATTATTATATTCCAAAAGATTTGTAATATCTGTGAAATAAGGAATTCATTGTTCTGGAATATTTCCTAACAGAAACTCAATTTATCATTCCTTGAAGGATAATCATAGATTTGATGTTGGAAAACAATAAACTGGTATGCAGACAGAATCTAGAATATAAAAGTAATATAATATCCTTGACCGAAAGTCAGATCAGTACCACCAGCAACTAGCATAGTACATCGTAATCGGGGTATATTTGTGATTCAATTTGCATGAAATGAAAATAGTAAATTTGTTTTTCCGTTAACCAGCTGTCACGACAACCCTCAGAAGTCGAAACTTGTGCGAGCTAAGGATTAACGAGGTCTTACCTTTTAACGTGTGATTCTTAACACGTTTTGAAAGATCTCATCTAGTTCTTGTAGTTTTGTTCCTGGCATATTGAAAGTGTCTTTTAAAATCAAGTGTGTTTAACCCTATAAAACCTAAGCGTTTAAAGTTATTAACAACTTTAATGGACTCATCATAAATCTTCTTGTTCAGGTATTTAATTATATTGTTCTTGTTATAATAATTATGATATCATTTAATAATGACCAGTTGCTTTAGAATTTTTATATTGATCTTAAATTTATTTTTATTCAAAAAATTATAAACAGTTTTAGTGATCATTGACAGCTAAAAATCATCAGCAAATAAGTTCAAACTAACGATTTGTTTCCCGATTTTAAATTTTTTTTATTGTGACCTATTAAGCAAAAGAAGAAATAAAGTGAGAACCAATTAAGAACCATGTCAGTACACTGAAATATTTTAATTTTCTAAGTGAATGTTTATCATCTCAAAAGCTGTTGTGATATCAAGAATACAATTCCAGTATAATTATAAGCACCTTTCTATTTCCCAGTAAATTTTCAGGAACCTTTCATAAAATTAATATTTCGATTTATGTTGCAGGAGATGCTACCGAAGATGTAAGCTGTTATGAAAAGGCTTGGGAATTGTCTAAACGCCGAAGTCATAGGGCTCAACGTCATTGGGGTAACTATTTGTTTGTTAGAAAACAATATGAGGAATGCATTCCACATTTTGAAAAGTCTGTCAGTATAAATCCTTTGCAATCCAATGTGTGGTCTCGTCTCGGTTTTGCTGCTCTCCAGATAGAAAATTGGCAAACGGCTGCTACAGCTTATAGACGGTATACTAACTTGGAACCTGATGGATTTGAGGCTTGGAACAACCTTGCTCAAGCTTATATTAAAATAGGAAATAAACGGAATGCTCATCAGGCAATTCTGGAAGCTCTGAAATGCAATTTCGATAACTGGAAAGTATGGGAAAACCTTTTGTTAGTAAGTTGTGATATTTCAAACATTTCCGATGTGATTAGAGCTTATCATAGGTTATTAGATCTAAAGGGAGACTATATAAATGTTGATGTATTGAATGTGTTAGTGTACAATGTATGTAATAATGTGAATGATTGTGAGGGGCAGCCGTCACAACGTTTTTTACAAAAAACCAGGGAATTGTTAGGGCGAGTTAATTCTATCTCTCCCAGCAATGGCTATATATGGGAACTCTATGCCAACTTAGCTCCGTCGATTTTGTTGCGCGCTCAGAGACTTCAGAGAGCTTACAGAGGCTATACCCAAGGTTCGTGGGATAAAGATCCAAAAATGTGTAAACATGTGTTGTATGTTTGTGTTAAATTAGCAGAAATTGTACTTGAAAGTGATATGGATCCCAAAGACACTATAATAAATTCCATTAGGTTGAATATAAGTTCTGCAATCACAGCTATAAAGAAACATGAATGGGAGGATACTCGAGAATCACTCACTCAGGTGTCGGGCCTTTTTGAAAAAATCCTTGGAAAAGTTAAGATGGAAGCCAAGTCTGGTAAAAGTAATTAGATGATTTTTATTTTAATTGTGTGATGCATTTTCATTAAAATTTTTATTTCAAATATCTTAGGTTGTTTTTTTGTATTTGATACTGTAAGAACTTCAATATGAAAGTAAACGTTGAGCTATTCTTGATACATTTTGAGATTGTTACTCATAACATATTTTTAATAACTTTATATCTATTTTTAACCAAGTCAGTAAACCATTACTTGATTTTGATAATTACAATAATGATTATTTCCTAACCCCATATCGATACGTTGGCCAATTAAACTTAATTTGTTGATTTATAAACATCAAGTCGATATACTATTCTATTCGAAGCTCACTCATCTAGAAATAAATGTTAAATTAAATGGAAAACACAATTATGATTTAGCTGAAAACTTCATCAGATGGTTTTCTATTTTGAATTTTGAAGACCCTCACCAGCGCCGTGTGGTGTTAGAAATGATTGAACATGTACAGAAATCATTTTATTGTAGTATGATACATAATACTAACATTTGAAAACAAGCACATGGGCATAAAATGAGTGCAGAGCACATTTTTTTAATATTTGCAGCATTACTTCAAAGGAAGTCCTGTAACGTGTAAAGATTTTTATTAATTGAAAAACTTGAACGGAAAATTTGAACTCTCTCAAACACACCGCATCCCTTATCTCTTGTGGAAGACTATTAGTGTTTTGGTCCCAAGTAACACGGATAATTTGCTGTCACCTTGTACTTATAAAAAGGAATATAAAATTATTTAGTACAGTTTTCCAAGGTAAAATCCTTTCTATCGTTGAAGACAAATACATAACTCTAAAATAAATAAACCTTCTAATGGTAAAATTAAGCAATGAGACAAAATATCCCTTCATGAGTATGTACTAAATATCCAAACAATAAATTGATGGATGTACTTTACTTTTACCAGAACTCTGATTAATCGAAAAAATTACTAAAATGATGAATTTGTCCCAAATTGATTACCAATATAAAGGATTAAATGTAATGTAATTTATTTAGGTAAATAGTTAGGTAAGACTAACGTGAGTGGGGAGTAGGGATTTTCAGTGGCAGGTGAATTGGATGAATTTCAAAAGGGATACCAATAACATATTCTGAAAGCTACACAAGCATGATATAACCTAAGTAATTGCTCACGTGAGAGTATTTTTCTTAGCTATCGAAATATAAAACAGAAGTTTAACTTTGCAACCAGATTATTACAGTGAAATTTTCAGTTTATATAGTCATCAATTTTGATGCCTAAAACATTGATTCATCAGATTGGAAATATTTTTCTGTACGTTATGATACCTCATAATGTTTCTTGAGTATTAAAGAAAAATGAGTTTGCACTAAACACTACACCAAGAAGTGATGTTACCCAATAATTGTTCACCAAGCCACGCCCATTAATAATGATATAAAACCAGAGCAATGTAGATTACGTGGTCGATACGACGGGAACACCAACTCGGGCACTGCGACTACATCACCTTTGATAATGTCTACTGCATTAGTAGACGAAACGTCAGACATGAAAACCTACAGACCGAAGCCAAAAAACTCAGGAAATAGCTTTCACACAATCATCTACTTTGTTTGAAATCAGTGTGGGTGTATCACCCGGTTGATGTTGAATCAAAATTACTTTAGAGAGCCTTGTTCATTTACATTTAATATTTGTGTCATCGCCTTTACTATCACATAACTAAAATTGAATCAATTAAACTTTTTTTTGTTTTGGACTATGACAGATGCCAACGGTTTGGTTGGTGACACATCGGAAAATGGTTTTAAAGCTGATCCACAATTCTGAAAAAGACAAATATTACTAAACAATCCATATAAATTTTCGCCTGTTGATGTTATGACTATATTTGAATGAGTCATTAAAGATGGAAGGAAATAAAATGAACTCAGGGAAAATTTTTTATTCGTAGCACAAAGGCCACTTCTATACAAGAATTTTTGGACAAATCTAAACTATAACTAGTTAGCCATTATTTTATATATTCACAGCACATTCATATTTCTCGACATTTATCATTCATCTAGATATAAAATAGTTTATTATTATAAGATTTACTAGCTGACAAAATGACCAATAGGGTGTACATTTTAAAGTACAAGTGAATAACTAAAATGAAATATAAATTATCAGATTCGATAACGTATCCTCCAAAAATATATACAAATAAATATACCCATATCATATGCAAATAAAGCTAATTAAAAAAATAATACAAAAGATTCCTTGATTAATTCTGGTAAAATATTAAATCTTCAACTAAAATATAGATGGGGATGGAAAATCTAAAAGTAATCTCGCTGTTTCTTATGGGACAAGAAGTGACTAGATTGACTTCTGTTTTATGTTTTTTCACTAAGGAAACCATCTCTAAGATGAACAATGCAATGACAGTTGATGTTTTCTTGGAAGTGAAGAGTTCTCCCCATGAATCAATGGGATTAACTTTACAGAGACATCTTACAACTCTCTTTTGTGATACCAATACAAAAGGGTTGGACTACATGCTCCCCAAAAAGCTACTTTATATTGAAGATGGCAATCAATCTATGCGTACTTAGCAATTCAGGTTGAGAAAAAGTAATAATCGACAAAATTTCCACAAATTCAATAGAAGAATTAATATAACAGTGACAAAAATAAACATTCATTAATGACTGCTGAGATGCATTTGTCTTCTATGACTTCTAACATCTGTCTAAATCAGTCCGTCATATTCATCATATCTTTCGGAATGGCATGGATTGTCTTTCTATGTGACCTCATAGAAGAAAAACAAACAATTGTGTTTATAGTGTTCACCAAATTCATTGTGTAGCACAATGAAATTCTGTAAATATCATTGGAACACTGCGCATGCGAAAATTTTGTACAGGGTCTTTCAACAGGGACCTCCGAACTTTGACGATTTATAACAGCCATCTTGTTGAAGCTACATCTGTCAAATCAGCTGTCATTTATTCAATTTTTGCCAAATCACCATAGACAGATATAACAACATGTGCAAATAATAAAAACGTGTTGTCAAAATGGGTGTTCTGTCCGGGCAACGTACCGCGCGCTTTATAATTTCACAGTCGTCATAATCGTCCTACTAAGAAGACTATTCGCAAATACGGTGGATAATTTGAGTCCATTAGTTCAGTAAACAATCGACCAACACCTGTACGTTGACGAAACGCAAGATCTGCCTAAAATATCGCCCAGGTCTGTGAGAGTGTGCAGGAGAATTCGACGCGATTTCGCGTCGCTTACAAGAACTCGGACTTTTGCAGACCACAATTTGACGAATTTTGCATCGTGACTTGGGTCTGCACCCGTACAATATTCAACTGACCCAGGAACTGAAGGTAAATGACCATAGACACCGACGTGCGATCGCTGAAAGAGCTCTGAAGCAGTCGGCAACTGACTCAATGTTCATCGAAAAATCATTTCTAGATGAATATCTACCGAGATCTTGCGATTTGATCTTGTTAAAGTTTTTCTTGTGGGGTTTTCTTAAGTCGCAGGTGTATACGAAGAAGCTACAAACCACAGCGGTCAAGCCATTGGTCAAATTCAGCCTGAGTCATGGAAAATTGGACGTTTTGGATGTGCTTCACCCAGAGAAGCCGTGGCGGACATTTGAACGATGTTATATTCCACATAAACTTTGTTTTATTTAATTTTAAGGATAGGAAGCCATTAATGAAAGACCCTATAATTTTATAAATGAGAAGAAAATGATGTGACATCATCAAGCACTTTTTTCCCTTAATTTGGGTACAATTTAAATTTGGTAAATAACTACATTAAGCATAAAGACTCATTAATGACTCTACCAACTAGGAGGTCACAACACACTGCTGCCCAACTAAAGCTGAAGATGCCCATTTACAATTGACCTATCTTGAAAGTTCAAAGCATGGTAATAAGTTTGTTTGCTTTAATTAAGAACTCCAATTATGTTTTTCAAATCTCCACTCAGTGATATCTCCTAGGGAAAAATTTCATTTATATCATTTGATATCATTTTGAATATTGGAACTTTTCTAGCAATCATCTTTGTGATTTTAAGGACTTGAATCACTTTATTTTTCAACCCAAGAGTACAGTTTGACATTTCCGACTGAACATTGTTTTATCCAAAGATAATAGCAGCTGGTAAAAAGTTGTGATACATTGAAAAAGCTAAATTATCATGCTACCAAAAAGAATTAAGAATCACTACTCAAACAGAGATTAAGTTTTTGCTTGAAGATGTTACATTTATTTTTGAAAGAACAACAAAATGAATTCAGTGAAATTGTTTATATATGGCACTAAAGCCATTTCTTTACAATGATTTTTGAAAAAATCTGGGCCATGACTATTTAGCCATTATTTTATATATTCACAGCACATCCATACTTTCAGAAATTTATCAAGTACCTAGTTATGTACAAAATACAAAATTAACAAATATAATCTTCTAAGCCAAAGGTCAATTCTAATGACAATATAAATAAATAAACACTACAATGTTATTTTGAAGAAATAAGTTTCAAAACAAAAAATAAATTTATAGTCAAGAATTTATGACTTCCAATAGCTGCCTAAATTCTGTGTCAGTCTGTGTCTCCATGTGCATCATATCTTTCAGATTGGCATGGTTTTTCTTTCCATGTGACATTGTAGTTTGGCTTTCAACAGATCTCAACATATCATCAAATACTGTCTGCGTCTGGGTATCAATAAATCCAAAATCATTCAGTATGTCATCACAAGTTTGTGTATACATATTACTCATATAATCGCAACTGAACATTTCATCTTCAAACATAAAATCAGTTTGAGTTTCCATATGACAGTTATCAAATTCAAAGCTGTCGATGTCAGCCTCAAGAGTATTCACCATCAAATCTGAAGTATCAGTTTCAATGGAGTCGTGTGTCATTGTGGAAATGGAAAATATGTTAGAATGGTCATGAGTTTGTGTGCTCGAATTATTAACTTCAATTTTGTCATCGAAATCCAAATCTGTACTCAGTGATGTATTGCAGGAAAAATTCTTGGATTCTTTGATGTCGGTCTGAGTATTGGAACTTTTCTGACTTGGTGAATTGCATGAATCATTGTTTTGATTTGAATTTATGAAGTCACCTACTGTCTGAGTTCCTACACTGATGTGGTTACCCAATGATTCAGTTTGCTGTGAATTATAAGGAGACGTCCTAGTGACCTGGGTCATTTTACTTTTTAACCTGGGAGTAGTGGGAACAGTTTGGCATTCCTGACTCAACACCGACTTGTTCAGACTTGGAATAAAAACTACACTAACAGAGGTCCTAGGTAAAATTGCCTTATAGCAACTAAGAGCTACTGGTAAACTGACCTCACTCTTTGAAGTAAGGTTTTTCAGTTTATACTCAGGTTTGTTGAGTATTGTATGTTTTTTACGTCTACCATGCGTTTTCAATGTTTCATAGGAAGTATATGAGGACTGACAATCGCAACAAGTAAAATCAATACCGCAGTAATCTACATGAAGTTTCAGATGGTTCTCACATGGAAAACTTTTTTGGCATGTAGAACACAAGAAAGTTTTGGGTGCATGAACCTTCCTGTAATGCTGCCGAAGTAGCTTGATATTCTTGAAACAACTAGTGGAATTATAAACACATTCTAGTTCTGGACAGTGGTATTGTTTGATGCAGGGATCCAGGTTGACTAGTGTAGATTTCTTATGAGTCTTAGTCAAGTGAAGGGAAAGGTTAGATTCTGATGTGAAAACGTTCTGACAACCGTCTTCCGTGCATCTAATCATATTATTTACCTTACATTCTTCGACTGAGGGATATATCTTTTTTATGCCAGTTGGTATATTGTATGCAGTTGAGGTATCCATTTCTGAAAATGAAGTATATTACAAAGAATAATATTCGGGTTGGAATTTGATACCTTGAAAACTGGAATTATTCCATCTATTGCCTTTTTTGGGTGAAAATTCTATATTGTTTTGAACATAAACAAAAATTTTGGCATATGACTTGACAATGAAAGATTGTCATTTGTCACTGGGTGCGTTTAATATAATATACGAGTTCTTCAATTCAACAGAAAATGCGCTAACGTTTTAAATTGACTAATAGATGAATCCATAAGATCAAGTCGGTGGACACATTGTGAGTTTAGGCACTCGTCTATAATATCATATAGCAGTGTTTACATCTGTATGGTTTTTATATACGCTCTCATCAGTCTAATTGATTTATTATATCGGCATTATGTAATGCTAGCAACGCAATGAAAATAATAATGAAATAATGAATGTTAAGAAAACACTATTAGGTGCTTATTAAGGGCTAAACGGTAAGGATCGTAAAATTTTCTAATTAATCAACAAAAGCTTCCAATTTCGTTGAACAAAAGATCTAAGAATCAGGTCTTCCGAAAACGAGGACGAAACTTTGAGTATTGAGTTGCGGTGTAAGTTACAAAGCACCTAATTTTTTAATTCGGTACCTATAAAGCACCCAAAGGGTACCTAATTTTGGCATTTTATAAATGCGCTTTTCGTACTTTGCGTCGCTGGCGTAAATAGCTGTAGTATACAGGTGTGTTTTCCCGTATCTTGTGACCTCACAATAATATAGGGCCAATAAAGTAGTGCCAGATCGTGGAACTCAACTGTCCTTACTACGTGAACAAGCCTTCAAGTAGGATGCTTAATTCATTGATCACTGACAAATCGATATGTCAATTGTCAATAATGTCATGGTCATGAACGTCATATTCGTGTGTTGTGATTATTAGTGATACCATGTAATTGTTGATTTAACGTGTTTTATTTCGGTGTTTGTTTGTTGTAATTAGTGCAGTACCATGAAAAAATCATTACTCTCCAACACCAGATATGAAAAAGTACCCTATGATGACATATTTATTCACTGCAGGGTGAGAATCTTTCATTCAAAAATTAATGAAATATCGATGAAGACAATATTGTCTATTCTCAATTTGTATGCAAGCTCCCAATTTGCAATGAAAGGCATAATTGAAATTAATACATTTTTATTTCTATTATTTTTTTGAAAAATGTCTAGAAGTTATGACCAATTTTTTATACATTCTCAATAAATGATAATACACTTATTGATTATTACTTGGAGAGTAGTGGATTTTCGATTATGAATTAAATATAAGAGAAAAGACAATATGACATTATGCTTTGCATGCAATAATTATGACATCGTTTTATGAAGAATTATAATTTACATTTAATTTGTTTTTAATCAATATTAGTATGAGTTTTTGATTGATACTATATGTTCTGCTATACTGTTCCTAATGGTTTATTTCTCACTTGAGGGTTTATTGATTATAAAACTTTATTGATGTTATTTGTGTCATTTTAGATGACTCCTATATTAAGCTGGCAGAACTTATTAAGACTACATGATTTATTTTTGGACAGTAATGTAGGCCTAGCTTTGCACTTCATTCTTGAATGGTTTTTCCTCATTTAACACATATATCGTATGTTCTGGTAAAAAACTGATTTTTCAAATGGGATTGGACCATATATATTATATAGGTTCATACCACACATCGCCGATTTTCTTTGACATTTTTAAATTAATTAGAAGATAAGTACTGCTAACTTTGTTATTAAGCTGGCTGATACGAAGAAAAATTCAGATTTTGATTTTTTTCATCTGGAAAGTTTATTGGTACAATTGGAACCTCTGGCGTGAAATTGATATAATGAAAAACTTTTCCAACGCCAGGATACGACTAAAACTCTTGTGATTCAAATTCTTGTGTCAGAAAAGTGTTGAATAAGCTAAAAATAGAGAATATTTCACAAAACTATTGTAGAATTATGGGCTGAAGATGAATTTCATATACCAAAGTGCAAGCCAAAGTGGTTCAGTTAGTTTAACAAGATCAAGAGAGGTTATTTTAAGAGGTAAGTAGTACAATGGTTCCTTTTAATAAAATATGGTAAGACATTATGAAGTAATACTATAGTTCAAAATAATTACTTCTAAATTCTATATTCATTTTCAATTTTTAAATATGTATTTTTCAAATTCATAAGCATTTCTTATAAATAAATTATTTTCAGGAGTTCACATAACAATACCGTTATGAATGAATGAGAATAATTTTCCCAAAGTTGTGGGCTGATTTTTAGAGAAATTATATGAATAGTAAGACCACAACACGACTGAATATTTCCATTTCAGAGTATCATTGGTTACCAACTCTATGAATTCTACAACGGAATATATACCGGAATGTTTCGACACATATAAAAATGTATTTAACTAACACTAAACTCTTCACAAAGCTGATAACTGTTTTGCAAACTATTTTGCAAAGATCTCACAAAGTGTTGCTTAAATACTTTATGGTGAGTTTGACCCTCACGTTTACCAGATATCTTTCTTAAAAGAATTTATCTACTTGAAGTTGGGATGAATCTGCAACTTTACCTGCAAATAGTGATGATGATTCCTAGGTGGCTCGTGCAGTTATTGAAATGATCTACCCAAAACACGAGCCTAATGACCAAAGTAGTTGATGCTGTTGACAACCAAAAAATAGATTATAATAAATTTTCGTTCCATCGAATATCACAGAAAAATATTTTCAAATCATTATTGGATACAACAATATAAATACCGCGACTGTTTTTCTTGGATATTTCCTGATTCACTTATCACCTTTGTTGAAAACTAATTTTTATAAACTCATTGACATTAGCGAAGTGTATCCCAGATATATTTCGATAATTTCATTTATTTTTGAGATATTTCAAGAGAAATACTTTTTTTCAGTTTTTCTCAAATATCTCTAAAACTTCTTAATTTACTGAAAGACATAAGAAACTTCGTCCTAGGAATCTTTTGGATTAATTAAAATTGTTGAAACTCTGAAACAACATTTGAAGTATTTTTTCAGTTGAGTAATGAATCAAATCAAATATATCTGGTACTAACAATATTTTCTGAACCATTAGTGTAAATATCAATTTCTTCAACAAAAACACATGTTAAAAACAAAAACATCTTTTCGCCACCCTAGATCTGTGACACTTTTCCCGATGCGCTATTTGTCAAGTTGGTAGTCGTTTTTGAAAAATATTGTTTCCATTGGGTAGAGCTATTTCCAACAAATAGTGAAGCCTGTATAAAAATATATTTCCACATACCAAGTTTGTTGTTCAATACTCTCTTCAAATCATTCTAACTACCTTCTATCCTCTTTTCTCTCTCCTTTTCCTGTGCCTTTCCCATCAGTCTACCTTTATCATCAACGACCTTAGTGGCAGATACCAAAAAATCCCATATGCTTACTGATGAATCCCCAACATACTTGTTTTTTTTTCAATGTGAATTTTCAGACTCTTCTGTCAATTGAAGATTTGGGAAAATAACTTGGGTGATTGTAACCTCATGTTCACTTTTCTGTATGAAAATAAATGTGACGGAACGCTACATAATATTGTCAGGACACAAAACTCCTATGGAAGCGATTAATTATAATGAAAAAGCATATTTTTTATCACTGTAACAGTGCTGAAAATTAGCTTCGAGGAAACTTGAATCCTAAATTGGTTTAAAGGTTTCCATAGCCTGAAACCAATATTTGGGGAGTATTGATACAAATTCGGTTATATGTGAGCCAGGGCAGTAACCTGCTAATTCATCGGTCATATCATCAATAAATTGTCTTGTGGCGATATCATATTCTTTTGATTAAGATATGTAGATCACAGAATCTGTATCGTAATACCTGACTCCATCATCAAGCCTCTCTAAAGAGGTGTATAGTTCCAGACACGCCAATGCTGTGACATATGCAGCAATAACCACATTGACAGTTGAAAGACAATCAGAGTGTCCTCATTGATTGGTAACAAGGAATTGATGATACGAGAAGGATCAGTCATCATTTTGAAGAATTCAGCTGGTTGATTGACAATAGATATGTTAGGCTGATTGTCACGCCTACCAAATTTGCTCCAAAATGAATTCAACATGAGCATAGCCAGCGATCTCAAGCCAGGGTTATCTGGAATTTTGGGAAATTCCAAAAGAACACTCTCTCGCTGCAAAAACACCTCAATGTATTGTTGTTTCTCCTCATAGGTTTTGCAATGTTGTGGCCAATTTGATGATTCTTAATTTACCTTGATGAATTTGTTCATCATATCAGTGAAAAGACCGGCTGTGTTTTCATCAAACTGTACTGTATCATAGGACCAAATCTCTATGGTTTCGAGAATACAATATCCCAACTCAACGGCTTTTACCAATCTCGTCAATCACCCAGGTCCCAGTTAATGCTCGTTCTTCATCGGAATGTGAGCACCATATGTCTGACAAAGAACAAACATTCATTTGTTCGTTTTTTGTGACAGAACAGGGCGAAAGCCCTGAGATGGAGGAGAGAGAAACATCGTATTCTTCTTCACCAACAAGTACTTTGGGGTGACCAATAAGAAATTTGCCATATTTACACACCTAGGTAGATTTTCTCTGTTCATGAGTCAGATTTCTCTCTCGCTGCAAAAACACCTCAATGTATTGTTGTTTCTCCTCATAGGTTTTGCAATGTTGTGGCCAATTTGATGATTCTTAATTTACCTTGATAAATTTGTTCATCATATCAGTGAAAATACCGGCTGTGTTTTCATCAAACTGTACTGTAGCATAGGACCAAATCTCTATGGTTTCGAGAATACAATATCCGAACTCAACGGCTTTTACCAATCTCCTCAATCACCCAGGTCCCAGTTAATGCTCGTTCTTCATCGGAATGTGAGCACTTATGAGAGCTGAAGTTTTCACCACATGTCTGACAAAGAACAAACATTCATTTGTTCGTTTTTTGTGACAGAACAGGGTGAAAGCCCTGAGATGGAGGAGAAAGAAACATCGTATTCTTCTTCACCAACAAGTACTTTGGGGTGACCAATAAGAAATTTGCCATATTTACACACCTAGGTAGATTTTGTCTATTCATGAGTCAGATTAATTTACTT